AACAAACAATCAGTTGAAGTGGCCGGCATCGGCAAGGTGTTAATAAAGAGATATGTCAATGGACAGTGGGAGGATAGTGAGCTGCATAATGTGTTATATGTTCCGAATTTAAGAAGGAATTTATTTTCAGAAGGTGTGATAATGCGACAATCCTATACGATTATAAAGAAAGATTCTAGTGCACTAATTTATAAAGGTAATGATTTGGTAATGTGTGCAAGAATAACAGATAACAACTTGTACGAGTTAAAGATAAAAGCAGTGGTCGCAAACACCTGTAACTTAGTCCAAAGTAATCAAAATAATATTAAAATATGGCATGAAAGACTGGGACACCTTAACCTAAAACAAATCAAGAATATGAGAGCTAACAATGTTGTAGAAGGTTTGACACTAGGTGACAGTGATCAAACTGACTTTGTGTGTGAAGCATGTGCATATGGGAAACAATGCAGATTTCCATTTCACAAGTCTGTACGTGGAGAACTACAGCCAGGTGACCTGGTGTATAGTGACATCTGTGGCCCTATGAGTCATATATCTATTCAAGGTATGAGATATTTTGTTTTATTCAAAGACGCTGCTACAAGTTACAGACATGTATATTTTATCAAACAGAAAAGTGATGTGATGGAAGTATTTAAGAAATACAATGCTATGATCAAAAACAAATATATGCACAGTGTAAGGATATTGCATACTGATAATGGAAGGGAGTATGTCAACAAATCTTTCGAGGACTATCTGAACAAAGAAGGCATAGTTCATGAACGTACTGCACCTTATACGCCTGAACAAAATGGGCGTGTAGAGAGAGAAAACCGCACGATTGTGGAGAGTGCACGCTCAATGTTGTATGCCAGGGATGTACCACTGGACTTATGGGCAGAGGCTATCAATTGTGCAGTATACTTACTAAACAGGACTTCCTCCAGCCAGACTCCTCAGAAAACACCATTTGAAATATGGAATGGCATCAAACCTCATTTAGGCCATGTCAAGATATTTGGAAGCATAGGGTATGTACACATTCCTGATCAACTTAGAACTAAACTTGAAAAGAAGAGTGAGAAAATGATACTAGTTGGGTATGATAACAACAATTATAGGATGTTCAGTCAGGAAACCAAAAGGGTGCAAATATCTAGAAATGTCATCTTTGATGAACAGCATGTTCCAGATATAAGGAGAAATATCACACAAATATGCTTGGATGATGAAGAGAGAGTAGAGCAAGAAAATGAGACGCAAGAAACTAATGCAGAGGATACTCTCAGAGAATCTACATCATCAGAGAGCGAGGGCAGCTTGCAGAGTTGTAATAGTGATGACCCTACATATGAACCCTCTCAAGAGATAGATGATGACACAATCCAGAACAATATAAATTTGAGACCAAGACATAATAGGATCTTTGAAGCTAACCTAGTAGAATTTTCAGTGCCACAAACATATAATGAAGCAATGAAGAGTCCACAAAGAGATGACTGGTTGCGAGCTATAGATGAAGAATTGCTTGCACATAAAGAGAATAATACTTGGACTTCAGTTGAAAGGTCTGGTCAACGTACTCTTACTACAAAGTGGGTTTTTAATATCAAGAGGGATGAGAATAACCAGGGTAAGCGGTTTAAAGCTCGCTTGTGTGCACGTGGTTTTAGTCAAATTAAAGATTACCAAGAAATATTCTCTCCGACAACGAGATATGACTCTATAAGAATTGTCCTTTCTATTGCAGCTAGGTATGATTTAGAAATTCAACAATTCGATGTAAAAACTGCCTTTTTAAATGGGTATTTAGATGAGGACATTTTTATAGAAATACCAGAGGGTATGTCACTTAAAAATGATTGTGTTTTAAAACTTAATAAGTCTTTGTATGGTCTGAAGCAGGCATCTCGTTGTTGGAATAGAAGATTTACTGAGTTCTTGGTAAAATATGGTTTTAAACAATCTCAGGCTGACAATTGTGTTTATATAGGTATATTTGATGGGGTAAAAGTATTTATAATAATTTATGTTGATGATGGGCTTATAGTCTCTTCCAGTTCCTCAATGATTAAAAAGATTATAGAATATTTAAAACAAGCATTTAAAATTAAAGAACTAAATTTGAATTATTTTGTGGGGATAGAAATAATAAAAAGAAATAATTGTATCTGTATTCATCAAAGAGAAAATAATTGTATCTGTATTCATCAAAGAGACTATGTAGAACAAATTATAAAGAAATTTTGTATGAGTGATTCAAATTCTGCTAGTACTCCAGCAGATGCAAATTTAGTTATTACAAAGAAATTGGATGAAAGTATTGTTAACTTTCCTTACAGAGAAGCTATAGGCTCCTTGTTATTTTTGAGCTCTGTTTCAAGACCTGACATTTCATTTGCTGTCAATGTCTTGAGTAGGTATGTCAATAATCCAAGTCAGCAACATGTGAATGCTGTAAAACGTGTTTTCAGATACCTAATAAATACTAAAGATTTGTGTATAAAGTATGGAGAAAGCAGTGATCTCACTGGCTATTCAGACTCAGATTTTGCAGGCGACGTGGACACGCGCAAGTCTACTACAGGGTACATTTTCAATATGAATGGAGGACCAATAACATGGTGTAGTCAGAAGCAGAAGACTACTGCTCTCTCCACTACTGAGGCTGAGTTTGTATCAGCTTGTGAAGCTGCAAAAGAGATGTTGTGGTTACAGCAACTATTGTCAGATTTAGGTGAAAATATTAAATGTGTTCAATTGTATGTTGATAATCAGAGCGCCATTAAATTAATTAGCAATCCTGTTTTTCATAAAAAAACTAAGCACATAGATGTGAAATACAATTTTGTAAGGGAAAAGGTTGAGTTAGGTATAATTAAATTCGGTGTTCCACAGGGGTCTGTTCTTGGACCCCTCTTGTGGAACATAGGGTACAACTGGGCCCTTCGCGCTGATTTCCCCCCCGGGCTGGGTGTAATCTGTTACGCAGACGATACCCTGGTGACAGCCCGGGGGGCAAACTTCCAAGAGGCGGCGCGCCTGGCCACAGGGGGAGTCTCCCTGGTGGTCGGGCGCATTGAGGCGCTGGGCTTACGGGTGGCCCTAGAAAAGACGGAGGCCCTGTTATTTCATGGGCCCCGTCGTGGTCCACCCCCTGGCGCCTCAATCGTGGTCAACTCGGTCCTCGTACCGGTTCGGGCCCAGATGAAATATCTGGGCCTGATCCTCGACGGGAGGTGGCTCTTCGACGAGCACTTCCGACAGCTTGCTCCAAAGCTGGTCGGCGCTGCGTCTGCCCTAGGGCGACTTTTGCCCAATTTGGGTGGACCCAGCGTCGCGACAAGACGGTTGTACACGATGGTTGTCCGGTCAATGGCACTGTACGGTGCACCGGTGTGGGCGGCGGCTCTGACCGCCCAGAATAGGGCACGCCTCTGGCGCCCTCAGAGGGTAATGGCGGTCAGAGCAATATGCGGTTACCGCACCGTTTCGACGGAGGTGGCGTGCGCGTTGGCCGGAACCCCCCCGTGGGATTTGGAGGCGGAAGTGCTCGCCGAAGTTTATCGGCGAGTGGCTGACTCCCGGGCGGAGAGCGGATTTCGCCCTCCGCCCGAAGACGTGCGCGAGTGGCGCGAAGCCGCTCGCCGAGCCACGATGGCTCGTTGGTCGTTCCGGCTGGTGACTCCACGCGCTGGCTTCGCCGCCGTGGAGGCTCTCTAGCCGGTCATCGCCGAGTGGGCAGTGGGCAGCACGGGACCCTTACCTTCCGGCTGACGCAGGTGCTTTCCGGGCACGGTTGCTTCGGAAAGTACCTGCACTCGGTCGCTAGGAGGGAACTGAGTCCCGCCTGCCACCACTGCGACTGCAGTGAGGACTCGGCCCAGCACACGCTGGCGGTCTGCCCCGCATGGGCGACGCAGCGCCGGGCCCTCACAGTCATCGGAGTGGATCTCTCGCTACCGGCCGTAGTACGCTCCATGGCCGGTAGCGACAGTTGTTTTACCGCGGTCGCAACCTTCTGCGAGGAAGTAATCTCGCAGAAGGAGGCGGCGGAGAAGGCCCGGGAGGACGACCTCCACTCGGACCCGATCCGCCGCCGGCGAACCGGGCGGCGGAGGCGCGCCTATCACCGCCTCATGCCGCCCTGAGTGTGGCCGCGGGTGGACGGGGTGGGTTTCCCCTCCACGGGGCGGCGTCCGCGTGTGCCGGACGTCGCCTAAAGAGAGGAAAATATTGAGACGGAGCCCGCACCAGGAGCGGGCCGGCGCTAGGAGGGGTCCGGATGTCTTAATAACAACTGTTCCCGGATCCCTCCTCTTACAGGCGCAGTGTGGCACACCGTGTGGTTTTAGTCGGTCCGAGTCCGACACACCACCCCGCCGCAAACCCCGGTGGGGTGACGGTCCGAGGGGATTTCCACACGTTAAAAAAAAAAAAAAGGTATAATTAAATTAAATTATATTCCTAGTAACAGTCAATTAGCAGACATGTTAACAAAAGCGTTACCAGTTCAATCTTTTGCCTACTTTAGAGATCAAATTCTTCATAACTTATGTGATTAAATTTCGATGGTTAAACTTTTAGTGGGAGTGTTGGATTAATTAGGCTTTTAAAAAGTTTAACCAGACGGCAGCATTGTCTGTGACCCTGCTCTATGATTTTTTTTTTTGTACATTGTGTTCTTTCTTGCTGTGCAATTGAAGAATAAAAGTTTTCTTAATCAATTAATTAACATCTCTTGATTGATAAAAACACCCATAAACCCTATAACGGATATTCGCACGTGTCGGTTCGACTCTTGCGACAGGTGGACTGTGCGCGCGTTATTTTCGGAAAAAAATATTAAAAAGTTCGCAATATTTAAAATTTATAAAATCAGATTTGTTGTAAATAAAACGTACATTAATAATAGTTGATAAAAAATTAGGAATTAAGTTGATTTATGTAAATAAAATTGTTTTTAATTTTAGTATTGAATATAATCGTATCATAGAATAGAAAGCTTGACAATGCCGAAACACAAAAGCAAGTCAAAAGTGAAGCATGGCCAAGCTCTTCAAAATTATTGGTAATTTTTTTTTTTGGCGTAAATAAATACATTTATACAGGGTATGGCAGCGTTCCTAAAACTGTCGTGTTCACTTCTATTGTATAGGCGGGGAATTTCTTGAGCCGCAAATAAGCTTGGTACTACAAAAACGTCTATCGATTTTTTTTTAAGTATTATGAACATGACCATTTTTGGCTGGTCTGATGCTACAGTTCTGCACTCCGAAGGTGGGTACGGGATCTTAGTGACGGAACCACGTAGAACTATCGTTTTTGTACTCATTTGAAAGGGCTCGCAGTTATTTGGCTGTCCGTGATGATTTCACTTACCTGATGCTGCACTCCGAAGTAGTTCGAATGTGGGTATGGGATCTCAGTGACGGAACCACGTAGAACCATCGTGTTTGTACTCATTTCAAAGGGCTCACAGTTATCTGGCTGTCCGTGATGATTTCACTTAACTTTTCTGAAAATGCTTTTATTGTACTCTTTTGTTGAGAGTGACTGTTGCGATAATATTTCTAATTTAACTTCATGTTTTTAGGCATTTGAGAAATCAGAAAAAATCCCATTCAGATAATCTGGACAAAGATCCGTCAACTGAATCATTACACTCATCTACGACTATTGAAGAAACTCACGATCCGTTTGGTATGGCAGGTGATGAGGAGACTTCGTCGCCGGATATTACGGTAGCTACTTCTTACAATTAAGAGTGCAAGTGTTTTCTTAATGTTGTTAAATTGAACTTTGACTTTGGGTCCCCATTGCGCATTGATAACCATTCGTTTTTGGTAATTAAAAACGTATTGAGGAAACCGACAAGTCTAAGAACCCATAAAATCCTATCGGGTCAGTAAAAAATAAGCAATATAATATTATACACGGCAGTTTTTGTATATGAATTTAGCAATATATTACATGATAATTATTTTGTTATCAGCTTCCACAAGATCACATCTTACCGGAATTAACTATTGAAAAGAATCAACCAGAGACAGAAAAAAGAAATATATTTGGCAGACGAATTGTTGATATACAATACTTTTTTTCAAAATTGCAAGAAATCAGCAATCATAGCCCCTATAACTGTGGAGTACAAAGTTTAAAAATTGTTGGAGAGAAACGAGTTGGATTGTCATCCAAGTTGACTCTAGAGTGTTTAATGTGTAAAGGAAAGTTTTTATTAAATAATGTCCCAGGTGATCTGGAAATAAATACAGAAGCAGTAGCGGGTTTGTCGATGTGTAAAGAAAAGTATATTCTAAATGTCTCCGGTGATCTGGACATAAATACAGCTGCGGTTGCTGGTGCAGTTTCTGTTGGCATAGGCTACTCACAATTAGAGGAATTACTATCAGCGATCGATTTACCTATGATGACTGAGCCTCTGTACCAAAAACAGCACGAGTTTGTTTCTAACGCCTGGGAAAAAGCACTTGGTCAATCCATGCAAGAAGCTGCAGAAGAAGAAAAAAGAATTTCTTTAGAAAAAGGTCGTGTGACCACTGATGGCATTCCTATTATAGATGTTATTGTTGATGGATGCTGGAGTAAGCGGTCTTATAAAAAGAATTACTCAGCACTTTCAGGAGCTGCTGCCATAATCGGAAGAGAAACGAAAAAAAATTTGTTTCTCGGTGTTAAAAATAAGTACTGCAGCATATGTGCACAAGATTGTAACAAAAATCAAACTCCAAGAGCTCATCAGTGTTACAAAAATTTCACGGGTGCATCTACTGCCATGGAATCTGCGTGTATGGTTTGATTTATGGACGTCTAATATCTGACGGAGATTCTAGCACGTACTCTAAAATATTAGAAGCAAGACCTTACCCTCAATTTACAGTCGAAAAAGTAGAGTGCAGAAATCACCTTTTAAGAAACTTGTGCAACAAACAGGAAAACCTGATCACAGATACAAAATATCCCATACATCTTAGAAAATTAATTACAAAAAAACGCATAATGACCATTAGGTCCACAATTAGAAAATGCATCAAAAAATATCATAATTCTACAGAGACTTTAGATTTTTGACTTTAGACTTTAGACTTCAAACTTTTTGAGGACATTCAAACTGTACATTTACATGCCTTCGGGAACCACACCAACTGTAAAAACCATTTCTGTAATCTTCGTCAAACTGAAACTGAATCAGTAACGTCGGATTTTTTCACAAGTTCTTTATGGCAGAGAATATGTTTTATAATAAATAGTATTGCTGGCCCTTCAAGAAGTCTGGTTCATAATGTTGATAGTAACATCATAGAATGTTTTCACAGCGTTGTGGCCAAGTTAGTTGGGGGTAAAAGAGTAAATTACTCTCTGCGTCGTGGCTATCAAACTAGGTGTTCGGCGTCTGCGATTACGTTCAATACTAAAAGAAAACCTACTACAATATTGTACAAAACAATTGTTGGCAAAAGCCCTAAAGGCCGAATGAGCACTTTCGATAATAAGTATCGGAAACTCAGAGGCTTGAAGAAACGCGCCAATTATAAAAAGCCACAGAAGACGTGTGATGCTATAATTCAAAATAAAGATTATGGTGAACAAAGCTCTAAGCCGGATGTGAGTGATGATGTTCTTAATTTAATGAAGGAAACTCTTCTACCCACTTTAAAAAAAGTGAAGAAGAAAGAACACGGATCGAGCGGCAGACCATTTTGCAAAGCGAGTCTAGCGAATGGCTTGAACTTAGACGTTCTTTGTTGACAGCTTCGAATTTTGGCAAAGTGATCAAAATGAAACCAGACACTAGTTGTGCCAATATAGTAAAGCAATTGCTATACAAAATTAATATAGAGGCTGTTCCTTTGCAGCACGGAAGAGAATATGAAAAAAAAGGGCTACAACAATTATCTACTCAAGAAGCAGAGGATATAAGACATTGCGGGCTTTATATAGATCCCGAAATGCCGTATTTGGGGGCTACACCAGATGGGATTATAGACGAAGAAACAATAGTGGAGGTTAAGTGTCCAATAACGGCATTTAAGACAGGACTAGAGGAAGCTATTACAAAAAAAAAAAGTTAATTTTTGGATTAAAGACAAATCAGGTAATTTAGAGATAAATAAAAATCACAACTGGTACTACCAGGTACAAGGGCGGTTGCACGTGACTCGCAAATCCAAATGTGTATTCGCTGTATGGTTCAGTGAGTCGCAACCACTGAAAACGGCAATCATTTATAGGGATGATGATTATTTTGAAAATAAAATGAAGCCAAAATTATGCAATTTTTATTTAAATTGTATATTGCCTGAAATTTTAGACCCAAGACATACCAGAAATATGGAAATACGTAATCCAACCTATATAATGGAAGCTATAAAGACAAAAGAAGAGAAAAAGAAACTTGAAATCTCCAAGAGGAAAATACAACGCATAATTCCAATTGCTGAGCAAGAAGAAAATACAACGCTTTCCTTATATCAAGAATCGATACGGTCGTCAACACCAGTAATTCCAGAAGCGGAATAACCAACCTGTTCACGATACTTAAATTATAATGAATTTTAACTTGCACAAAATATTCAACGGTTGATTTAATCTTGACAGATTTATGATGTGTCTAAAATGTTAAGATAACATAATTAAAAAAGTACGCAAAGTTTATTTCCTCTTTTATTTAATTTAGCACTTACACATATGAACCAGATCATCATTAGACCCTTAGAATATTTATCGTAGCACCATCCGTGATAAATATGACAGTAACTGAAAACTAAATCTTTCTCACTATTTCCATGGCCGAGAACTCCTTATAGCTTACCTAGTAATCCACATACCTTCACAAAGTTTCACGCAGCAGCGTCAGTGCTGAATATGAGAGTTTCTGAAAACTAAATCTTCCTAACCATTTCCATTGCTGAGAACCACTTGACACTTACCTGGTCATCCACATACCTTCACAAAGTGTCACGCAGCAGCGTCTGTGCTGAATATGAGAGTTTCTGAATAGTAAATCTTCCTAACCATTTCCATTGCTGAGAACCACTTGATACTTACCTGGTACCTGAATATGGGAATGAATATTGTAAATAAAATTATGCAAATAAGTTCTCATGTCATATCTAATCGTTAATCTTTGTCTACTATTTACGTAGTGCCATTGTAGTACGTCTGTCTTTTGGTAGTCGTTTGGTAGTAGGTGTCGCTAAATTTAAATAGTCTAAATCGTCAAGGTCACTGATCATTGTAGAAGCCTTAAGGCGCTGTTGCAGCGCGGTGTGTAGGTGTGCAAACATTACCTCACCCCCCCCCCCCGCTAACGTATCGTACGCAAAGACGCAGCGTGTCAAAAAGCTGCGCGAGTCGGCTGCGCGCCACTCAAAGTTACGTCCAGATATTGTGCCACAGTGTAGCGTACTCGTAATACAGTAGTTAGAAAAGAATATCATGTTTGAGGTATATAATTCTAATTGGCTTTTGCACTTTTAAACTTTTGTTATTCACCTGTGTGTTAGCTTTCTACTAAAATAGGTATACACGAAATTAAAAAAATATTGGAATTAAATGACCGTTTAAACAGGCGAACTAAGGTTTATTAGTTATAGGATATTAGGTCATTACTTCCTACATATATAATTTGTTTACTCGAAATCTCATAAACAATGATGTTTTTTTAATACCTTATCCTACAAATTTCTCTTACTTCATGAGTTTATCAGCAGATTGGGTACCATAATACAGGCTTTAATTAATAATACACACAACATAAGTTGAAAAATTCACATAACTTTAATAAAAGATGATGATTGAGGCGGAGGTTTTATTCTAAACTTTCTTAAGTTTTATATCAATCATGTCAAAGCGCAATAGGCAAGGGCTTTCCTATTCGCACAGCATAGTTAGCTTACAATAAAACGTTTCGTTACAGTGCTGTTTGAAGAGACCTTATTTACCAACATACTTAAATTGGTTCTATCAATATATTATAATTATTATTTCGCTTTGTTAAGGAAACACTCACTTTGGTAATACTATTACTTTAATGTGAAAGTGCCGATGATTAGTGACTAAGACAAAGTAATTAAAACAATTTTAAACCCTACTTGAGACTCTTAACATCGACTTCTAATTTGGTCCTGGTGACATCTATCGCTAAATAACTCTGTGGTGACATACGTACAGTCAGTTCCTCTGCGCATGAAACCGCGAAGGCGCGCGCAGGCTCTGACGGTTGCCATAGGTTGTTTGAAAAATTTGAATAAGGATTTTGTCTACTAGCTATTACGTTATGTATGTGAGAAATATATTATTTTTACGGAGTTGTTGATTATTGCTATTTATGCGGGGGATAGTCACATACCCCCACATTTGGTGACCCTGACTTGATTGCGGTGATCACGCTACACCCGCGATTCTTCGTTTTCGGTCGTCGTGTCAGCTGAGCCCCGACTTCAAGTAACGGAGAGCAAGCAATTGGCGAAGTTAGTAAGAGAATCGTGTTTGTTTACGCGATAACGGAAGGTTGGTGTATGTACCAACCGGTGGGTCCAGAAGGCGATAACTACCTGGACCCCTCCTAAACTGGAAGCGCAAAGAGGGCACACCGTGTGGTTTTAGTCGGTTCGAGTCCGACACACCGCCCCGCCGAACGAGAGCCGCGGCGGGGTGACGGTCCGAGGGGATTTCCACAAGTTAAAAAAAAAAAAAAATGTACCAAGCGGTGAGCGATTTTATATTGTTTTAAAATGTCTGAGTCAGACGATTACGCCGAGGTTGTGACTCCTCGTGTCCTCAGAGTTGGCGTTAGAATACCGCCATTTTGGCCAGAAGAACCCGGTCTGTGGTTCGCACAGGTAGAAAGTCAGTTTAAGCTGTCTGGAATATCATATCAACTGACGATACAAGATTTTGTTATCTGTTTGCTCAGTTAGACCACCGCTACGCTGCTGAAGTGAAGGACATTATCACAAACCCACCAGACAAAAACAAATATGAGAAACTTAAATCTGAGCTCATTAAGCGTTTGTCAGCTTCTCAAGAAAAGCGAGTTAAACATTTATTGATGCATGAGGAGTTACGCGACAGGAAGCCCTCCCAGTTTCTGAGGCATTTATCGAGTTTGGCCGGTCCTTCCATCTCCTCTAATTTTTTATTAACTCTGTGGTCTAGCAGGTTGCCGCAGAACATCCAGACGGTAATCGCATCTCAAATGGATCTCGATAAGGACAAACTAGGAACTAGCAGATAAAGTCTACGAGATCGCACCGCCAACACCACAAGTTGCAAGCTTCCTCTTCACAATCGTCGTGTAATAGTGACATGGCTTAACAAATCGCGGAATTGACCAAGCAAGTGGCTTTATTGACTAGTAGACTAGGACGTTCAGAAAAATCACGCTCTAGATCTCGTTATAATATACAAAATCGCTCACGCAGCCGTCCCCGACCGAAGCAACCTCCTGCGAATCACCCGCATTGCTTTTATCATTTTATATACGGTGCAGATGCGAGGAAATGTAAGAGTCCTTGCACTTTCTCTTCGGAAAACTCTCAGGGCAGTCGGAAGTAGCGGCCTATGACTGCCCAAACCCAACCCCAACATCAACAGGCCGTCTTTTCGTAACCGATTGTCTAAGCAAAATGCAGTTTCTCGTAGACACTGGTTCTGATCTATGTGTTTTTCCACGGTCTGCGATGGGGACGCCACTTAGAAAATCCACTTTCGAGCTGGTAGCTGCCAACAACACAGTCATAAATACATACGGTCCAGTAAAGCTACACCTAAACTTAGGACTCCGGCGTGACTTCACGTGGAACTTTACTGTAGCTGATGTGTCCGGACCAATCATTGGAGTTGATTTCCTGACCTACTACGGCTTACTCGTAGATTGCAAACATCAGCGCTTGATTGATGGTGTTACTTCCCTCTCTGTTTATGCTTTTCAATCGGAAGCATCAGACGACATTGTCTCAGTCAAAGCAGTCACAGGTAAAACCGAATTTAATGGGATTCTACGCGAATTTCCTGAGATCACTAGGCCAGCAGGTATGCACTTTCCAGCAAAACATACCACTCTTCATTATATCAGAACCACGCCTGGACAACCAGTTTCCTGCAAGCCACGACGTCTTGATCCTGTTCGTACTCAAGCCGCTAGGAAGGAGTTTGAGGACATGTTGGCTTGTGGTACAGCCAGGCGCTCAGAAAGCCCGTGGTCTTCTGCCCTTCATTTAGTTAAGAAGAAGGATGACGGATGGAGGCCCTGCGGCGACTACAGGGCACTCAACGCAAGGACCAGTCCCGATCGCTATCCCATTCGCCATATACATGACTTTTCTTACCAGCTTTCAGGATGCTCAATTTTTTCTACGGTTGACCTCGTGAAGGCTTACAATCAGATCGCTGTAAATCCGCAGGATATTCCTAAAACAGCTATTACAACTCCCTTTGGATTGTTTGAGTTTCCGTACATGACATTTTGTCTTAGGAATGCAGCTCAAACATTCCAACGGTTTATCGACGAAGTCTTGTCAGGCTTGGAGTTCTGTTACGGATATATTGATGATATTCTCGTCTTTTCATCATCTATAGAAGATCACAAGAGACATCTCACCACCCCTATTCATCCCATGGGTGTCGTAAGAAGCGACTAAGGGAAAAAAACTAGGCAGGACAACAGCACTGCAGAGAGAAGAAAAACTTGACACAAACCCTATACCAACCCGTCTGGCCAGCGTGGTATAGTATAGGCCAAAACCTCCTTTCTGAGGAGAGGCCTATGTCCAGCAGTGGACTATTAAAGGCTGTTGATGATGATGATGATTGGTTTTGTTTATGGGCTATGTGAAGTTACCCAAAATATCAGACTACTGGTCCAAAGATGAAATTATGGGACTAAATTTCCCAAGAACCGTTATGTCCCGTAATCGGTTTGAGATATTGCTTCACACATTGATTGCTTAAACAATGGATACAAAGTAATAGCCGTAAGCCATAACATTTTATGGTGAATTTTGATTAAGTAAATATGAATGTTTGAAAATATGTATGAATGTAGGTATATTATTATTATTATTATTTTTATTAAAAAATACATTTTTCGGATCCGAGTGGTCGGCATGCAGCACGTCGGATGCCGAACACTCGGATCCGAGTGCTAGGGATGGCAATTGTTTATTAACTAAAATGTCATCATGTGGTGACTGAAAAAAACAGTAAGTAAATAAAACAATTATGCATCTGGAGAATTATTTATTTAGAAAGATATATTAATCAATCTATGCAAAGAAGCGTTAAAATCTACAATTATAAAAATCAAACAAAAAAACATAATAATTATAAGTTTAACTGAAAAATAACACTCTGAATCACAGTATGTTACGTACACAAAGAAAAAAAACTTAAAATGAAATAAAAAAACTTAGGAATGTGCCTGACAGAAACATTGTGTACAGAAGCCTGGAGAACCTTCACATTGCTTACATTCGTAAATGGTTTGCACTCTCCTTTTCTGGGCTTTGCAGCCTTTGCATTCCTTTCGGGCCATTTCGGTGGTTTCCTTCATGACTCTTCCTACCTTCTTTTGTCTCACTCGGGTCTTTTCTATTTTGGTGAGTTGATGTTTCACTTTCAAAACATTGCGTTGATTGACATCACGAGGATCAGGTAGAAGCCTTTCCAGTATGCTCAAACGGAAATCGTACAGATTCATTTTATTAGTCGCCGAAAATTTGTTGTACAAGTACATTGCATTACTGAGGCTCATTTGCAGCATATGAACAAACAGCTTCTTGTACCAGCGCAGCGTCTTTCTTTGGACTGGGTAATAAGCGAGCATCTGATCTTGAAGATCTATGCCCGGCATAAAGTTATTGTAATGGACAATTGCGCTTGGTTTCAATACTACAGATCCCCTTTTGGAAGTAGTTTCCAGCATCTCGTCACCATGTTCTGTGGAAATATATAATACGTAACGTTTATCTCTCCACTTACCAATATGAACCCCGTTCAAGAACAAGGATTTGTTTTCTCCTTTTTTCAATGGGATAGTCCCAATTTCAACAGGATTATCTCTGCGGTTTTTTCTTAACGTTCCTGTGCAGTAGTAGTTCCTGTGTAGCAGTTTCTATTAGGCGGTCTTCTTCGCTTGTTTCCGACGTGAAGTGCAGGCATCGTAATATCAACAAGAAACGGTTTCGAGACATAAATTGACCGAAGCATGGAATATTAAATAAATAGTGCCGTTTCCAGTAATCGCATATACGATTTAGCCGAATTGTTCCAGTATGCAGAAGGAGTCCGAGAAATGTCATCAGTTCTTCTTTAGTTAAAACTTTCCAGTTGTTTATTCGTGAGTTGCGCTTTACATTATCTGCAGCACCCACTCTTACTGCATTTGCATTCGTCTCTCGAACAATCAGATCTAATAAATCATCATCAATAAATAAACGGAACGCATCGTAAGGATCTGTTGGAGGCGGCACCAAGAGTTGTTGTTCCGTGGTAAAGTCGATAGTTTTCATTGAATTTGGGTTAGAGCTCCAGGTGGTAGTGGCTCCTTGATGAGAAGGTGAGTTATTGCGTGAATTTTGAGGTGACGGGGCATCATGGTTATCGCTTGGCAAGTCGGGAGTACTACTTTCAGATCTTAGAACGGGAAAAGCCGGAGGGGCGTCATTATGCTCTGACGAGAAGTTCGGAGTCACCGCATTAGATCTCAGAAGCGACACGCTAGGCGTAGAAATGTTACCCAAGGATAGATTCTCTGGCAAATCGGGCAGTACGTCTCCATAATCTTGTACGATAGAGGGCGATGAAAGACGTTCAATTTCGCAGTTGATCTCATAATTGTCCAGTCTGTCAAATTCTAGTTGGCGAAACGCAGGCCTCGATGCTGAGAAATCTGGTAACGTTGAAGACTGAGCTGATGTATCACGCGTACCTGGTATATTCGCTCCCTTGCGGCCATCACTAACCATTGCTTTCAGTCGCTTAGGTCGAATAATAGGGCTACCGCCTGACTCACTCAAACCTCGCTTTGATGCCTGTGACCTTGAAGGTTGAGCTGGTACATCACCAGCGCGTGGTCTACGACTGGTCGTCTTCGACTTCATTTTTGTATCAAAAATACTAACATAATCATCACTTTGTCGACGCTTTTTTGTAGCACTTTTACCAGTCGACGGCCGAGCCTTACTGTGCATTTTGGCTAAAAAATAGCGTCCTGTCTATCGTGTATACAAATCACCACAACACTATTAGAATGAAACCAATTATCTTTTTCGTAAGTTGATTATATTGCCAAAGTGGCCGCGCAAAACAACGTGAGCTCGCTTCGAACGCCGGTGCGTTACTAGCCAAAACAAAATGAATGGGACGCTTGCACGGATCCGAGTGGGCGGCACCGTTACTATGGCCCCGCCCCACTCGGATCCGAGTGAGGAGCACAGAATGTGTTCAAATGCTACATTTTTCAGAACAAGATTAGGAGAACAAAGCTGATCGATTACACCGGGTAAGAAATTTATTGAATGTAATGAATCACAATTTTAAGGAAAACTACATCCCTGGTGAGGATTTATGCATCGTCGAGAGTGTTGTGCCTTTTCGAGGACGCATAATCTTTCGTCAGTATAATAAACAAAAGCGTCATAAATATGGAGTAAAACAATTTAAATTATGTATATTGCCAGGTTATACCTATGAAATTAACGTTTATGCTGGCAAACAAAATGACGAAATTAACACTACACCTACAAATGTAGTTATGGAACTATGTAATGACTTGCTCGACAAAGGGCACACTCTTTTCACAGACAACTGGTACACAAATATTGAATTGGCAAGAAAGTTATTAGATAGAGAGACACATCTTGTCGGAACGTTAAGAAAAAACAGGAGACATTTTCCTAAAACAATAGTTTCTACGAAGTTAAAAAGAGGGCAATTTATTGCTAAAGAAAGTGCTGTTGGAATAACAGTGATGCGATGGAAGGATAAACGAGATGTCTTGGTTTTGTCCACAAAACACTCTACGCGTTTTGTGAGAGCGGTAAAGCGTAACAAAGTTATCTCAAAACCTGCAATTATTGTCGACTATAATAAAGCTTGATTATATATTATATTGATTATATATATATATAAAAGTTGATTTGTCAGATCAAATGTCAGCGTACCAAACACCACTTAGGAAAACTGTGAAGTGGTACAAAAAAGTGGCCATAGACTTAATTTTGAATGTAGCTGTTGTAAATGCACTCACTCTCTACAAAAGTGTAACAAAGAAGAACATTCCTATTGTAGATTTTAGAAAAGAAATTATGACATATTTCCTAACAAAAGGCATAACGTCCGAACCTCTTTCATCGAGACCGAAGAGAGCTAAACATGAACTGGCGAAAAAAGAAGGATCATCTAAAGTCGTTCGACGTCAATGCCAACAATGTTATAAGCAGAACGTGGCTACTCTGGGACGCTTAGTAGCTAGGAATAAAACAAAGAAAGTCACTACTATTTGCAAAACCTGTCCTAATGTACCTTTTTTATGTCCCGAATGTTTTATTGAAATTCATTCAATTTTATGTCAATTTTTTTTTCTGTATCCTATTTTTTCAATAAACTTTCTATGCGTATCAAAATTGTTTCATTTGCAATCTATACCTATATTATAAAGAGGAAAGATTGGTTTTTGGTATTCGATATAAGTCCATTACAGTGAAAATTAGAGCTCTGAAGTAAGAAACGAAATTTAATTTTAGACTTGTCTTGTTTGCAAAAACCAAGCCAAAGAAGACAAAATGCAGAGCCGCGCGGGTCCTGTCATACGAAATTGAAAGACTTATCTGTCCGTTGGCCTACAGTCGCAGTTTAAAAACACGTCTGACGCGCGGTCACCATTGGGCGACGCGGCTCGAACAGAAATGATTGTTGTCGCCCAACAGTGACCGCCACGGCCTGAATGAAAAAGACATGTTTTGTAATTGGCAGAGAACGTGTTAAGTTCCTGAAGGGTCTTAGCTAATAAAACCGCGCCACAAAGTTCTAAACGCGGCAGTGAAATTTGTTTTACTGGAGCTACCTCGGACCGTGCCGTTATCAAGTGCATCGTGGTGTTATCATGGTTAACGACACGCAGGTAAGTGACACAGGCGTAGGCGACACAGGAAGCATCACTAAACCCGTGAATCTCTAGTTTCAGAACCGACGGTAACGATCCGAGCCATCGAGGAAGCTCAACAACGTGCATGGACTTTAAATTCTCATAGTGAGTACACCATTCATTTTGTAATTCATTAGGCAAAACATCGTCCCAATCGAGACCGCCTAACCACAACTTTTGCATAAATATTTTTAGTGTAATCACAATTGGTGCGAGCCATTCGAGAGGGTCAAATGTTTTGGCTATTGTGGACAATACATTTCGTTTCGTGATAGGTTCAAGGTTAGCACTTAGTTCAAACTTTAATTCAAAACAGTCTGTGCGTGGATTCCAACGTATACCTAGAGCCTTTACAGAGTCATCCATTTGTATACCTACTGTATTAGACTGAGATAGATTGGCACCCGGTATTTGACTTAACACTTGTTCACTATTAGACGCCCATTTGTGGAGGGTAAAACCAGCACTCGATAGGAGCTTATCTAACCCTTTTTGTAAGTTGATAGTGTCAATGTCCGTAGAGGTACCTGACAATAAATCGTCCATATACAGATCAGTCTTCAGCTTCGGGGCGACATCAGGGTACGCATCGTGTTCATCCTCGGCGAGCTGGTGTAAGGTTTGTATGGCCAGGTAAGGTGCACAGGAAGTGCCATAAGTCACCGTGAGTAATCTATATTCCTTCACGTCTTCATGTGGATTAGCACGCCATAAACTGCGTGGATAGTCAGTTTCTTTATCTCTTATAAGTATCTGCCTATACATTTGCTTAATATCTGCTACTAAGCAGACCTTATGCATTCTCCATCTTGTGACTAAATCTCTGATGTCTTGTTGCAGAGGTGGACCAATCAGTAGTTCCTTATTCAATGACCTTCCTTTTTCAGGCTTGGCGCTCCCATTAGAATAAAGAATCCTTCAGAATGGCATGGTGCGGTAAATAATACCGTTCATGTATTTCTTTCCTTTTTAATTGTGTGTCTAACTCCATATGGCCCAGGGCTTCGTATTCCTGCATAAACTTGCAGTACTCTTTGCGGAGGTCAGGTTTGTGCTTAAATCTTCGTTCTATACGGTGCAAGCGACTGGCGGCCATGGGTCTAGTGTCTCCGAGTTGTGAGGTGAAGTTCTCTTTGAATGGTTGCGACCCTCAGAGTTACGAAGGTTAGTATTTTTGAAATGTTCTTCACACTGGATGTCTTCCTTAGTGAGTGTACGTTGAATGCGAGTTCCTTTGTGTTCTTCCAGCTCCCAGAACTTCCTGAGAAGCTGATCAATTTCAAGTTTCATGTGATTGACTACAACGCTGCGAGAAGCGGACTGTATATCTTGTGACGCTTGGCCGGAGATGAGCCAACCAAGCCGTGAGTTCTGTGCAAGTAACGTGTTGTAGCGATGTAGTCCTTCAATGATTAGTGTAGCGTGTACGTCGGTTCCTAGTAGGAGATCTATAGTTCCTGGTCTCTGGAAGTAAGGGTCTGCTAGTGGTAAGTTCTGTAGTAAGGGCCAGGGAACCATGGGCACTTCTTGTGACGGTATGAGTGAGGTGATTTTAGAGAGTGCGTAAGCTTGCGTTTCTATTTTTTGTGTATTATCATATATTGAGTGCAATTTTATATTAACCATAGATTTTATTTTTACAGATGTGTCATTAGAAATTCCAGTTACGGTTCCATGTATAGCAAATCGTTTTAAGTTCAAGATCTGTGCAGTAGACTCGGTGACAAACGAGGCTTGAGAACCTTGATCGATCAGCGCACGTAGTTCGTGTGTGGAACCATCTCCAGCCGTCACAACTACCCGTGCGGTCGCTAAAATAACTTGGTTGTGGGTGCTTTCGGCTTTCATGGTGACAACCGCTGGCGGTTGCAGTGATTCAACAGGTTCGTTTGACGAGGATGCCTGGCTAGGGGGCGTGAGGTGCAATAGTGTGTGGTGTCGACGACGGCATAGTTTACAAGTGGTGAGTTGCCGACAACAACCAACTGAGTGACCCTTCACAAGGCAATTGAAACATAAGTTATTTTTCTTCAGAAACTCTTGTCGTTTTGGCACTTCTAATGCTTTAAATTCATTACAGTGACAAATATAGTGATCTTGCTGACAAAATGTGCAGGCTGTAGATGTAACTTTCGCGACAAAAGCTCTAGAGGGGTTGTTCTTCGGTGCTAGCTTTGGTGTGTACTTCTCCTTTCTCGTATTAGCAATGGATTCGATTGCCCTTAAACGACCCTCAAGAAAGTCCTTTAGCGTGGTATAGGGTGTGATGTCTCGTGTGTTACCCAGATGTTGTTCCCATAATTTGTGAGATTCGACGTCAAGTTTGGACACGACTATGTAATTGATAACAACATCCCAGGTGCTAGTGTCAATGTTAAGGCTTTGTAAGTCGTCCAGAGTGACCGTAGTTGTATCTAGAAGCTCCTTCAGACCATGTGCACACTCCGTAGTTAACTTCTTTTGGTTGAAGAATCTATTCAGCACGTTGTTGACGATGATTCTTTTATTTTCAAACCGATTTTCTAAGATACTCCACGCAAAGACTAATGCTTATACACCGCAACAGAATGGCCTGTGCGAGCGTATGAACAGATCAATTGTAGAAAAGGCCAGATGTTTGATCTTTGACGCTGGGCTAGATAAAAAATTCTACGCTGAAGCGGTTAATACTTCGGTATACTTAAGAAATAGATCTGTCGTTACAGGACTGGATAACAGGACACCTTATGAAGTCTGGACAGGGTTTAAACCGAATGTAAGTCATTTACGTATATTTGGCAGTCCAGTCATGGTGTATGTGCCCAAGGAGAAACGTTTGAAATGGGACAAAAAGGTGAGTAAGCTTATTTTTATGGGCTATTCTGAAAATGTAAAGGGCTATAGGGTTTATAACCCTGAAACCAATTCTATTAGTACAAGCAGAGATATAGTTGTCATGGAGAAGCCTGTAAAGAGTTCAGTGGAGATGTTAGTGGAATGTAAGTCTTCAGCGGAGGAAGGATGCACCAATGATTCCGAGAATACTGACAGTGAAACTTCAGACTCAGAAAGGTTAGATACACAAAAAGAAAATTTGGACAGTACATATGTGAAGGGTACTACTTTAGTGAGTACTGCTTCAGATGAAGATTTTTCTAATGCTACTTCAGATCCAGATATTACTCTGGAGGTGCCAGGAACTTCAGACACTCAATCAAAACGAGTTAGAAGGAAACCTGACAGATTTGGTTACAATAATATATGTATTACACAGTGTAATGATGATAAAGAGATAACCCTAGAGGAAGCTTTAAATGGACCTGAGAGTAAGTTTTGGCGGGCAAGTATGAAGGAAGAGTTAGATTCGTTTGATGAGAATGATGCGTGGGAGCTTGTTGATCATCCTCAAGATTGTACAGTAGTGCAGTGTAAGTGAATTTTTAAGAAGAAATTTAACAGTTCTAATAATGTGCGTTACCGGGCAAGATTAGTTGCAAAAGGGTTTAGTCAGAAAGCTGGTGTAGATTTTCATGAAACATTTTCGCCAGTTGTAAGATATTCCACCTTAAGATTACTTTTTGCTCTAGCCGCTAAGTTAAACTTAGACATAGTTCATTTAGATGTCACCACTGCTTTTTTAAATGGTTTTTTGAAAGAAACAGTGTATATGAAAAAACCTGTTACTTATAAAACCTGTACTGATGATGATAAAAAAGTGTTAAAATTAAAGCGTGCCATTTATGGTCTCAAACAGTCTTCCATGGCTTGGTATCAGAGAGTTAACGATTACTTGTTAAATTTGGGTTATAAAAAGTCAAAGTATGAACCATGTTTGTTTACTAAATTTGAAGGAAAAGTCAAAGTTATTAGTTATAGCACTATTTGTTGATGATTTTTTTGTGTTTTCCAATAGTGTGACATCCACTGATCAAGTAATGTATGAACTAAGCTGTAAATTTAATATCAAAAACTTAGGTCAATTGAAACAATGTTTAGGCTTAAGAGTTAATATCAATGAAAGTATAATAACAGTTGATCAATCACAATATGTTGATAATTTACTTAAAAGATTTAACATGTTACATTGCAAAACAGCAGAAACCCCTATGGAGACAAATTTAAAATTGGAGCAGTCCTTAAATGTTAGTAAAGATTTTCCATTTAGAGAGTTAATAGGCAGTTTAATGTATTTAGCTCCTAACTAGGCCAGATAACTTTTCTTAGCCAGTTTAATAATTCTTATGATAAGGTTCACTGGAAGCATGCTAAAAGGGTAGTAAGGTATTTAAAGAAAACTAAGAGCGATAGACTTGTGTTTTGTAAAGATAATTCTCATATTGAAGGTTTTGTAGATGCAGACTGGGGTGCAGATGTAAATGATAGAAGGTGTGGCGACAGCCCTATGCTATTGTGTCGACAGCCCTAAGCTATTATTTTATGTCAGCATTTTCTGTACTAAGCCAGGCGGACGCAGAGACGCGACAGGCAGTCGGTCACAAGCCTCGATAGCGAGCACGCATTTATACGCGCACCCGACTCCGCCCGCCTGGTTAAACCTTTCTGTGTGTATTTCATGTATGTGTCGTGTGATACAATAAACTTTAGTTAACTACCTAAATCGAGTATTTATTGCATCTCTACTCAACACCTCACATAGGTAGTTACAGTGGTGACCCCGACGTGATAAACAACACCCTCGACAGGTAGTTACAAAGGTTTTTTTCTGAATTCTGCTTTAAACTGTCAAATACAGTTATTTCTTTTGAATGTCGGAAACAAAGACATGTAGCTTTATCTTCAACAGAAGCTGAGTACATTTCTATGTCAGAAGCTAGTAAGGAAGCAATGTATTTAAAAAAATTACTAAGTGAAATTGTTGGTAGTTCAGAACCAATTGTTATTTTTAATGATAGTCAGAGTGCACAGAGATTAGTTTCTAATCCAGTTTTTCATCGCAGGTCCAAACACATAGATATAAGATATCATTTCATCAGAGAGGCATTAAATAATAATTTTATTAAGATATCTTATTTGGAAACAGCTGAAATGCCAGCAGATATTTTGACCAAAGGTTTAGGGTCTGCATAACACTACTATTTTATGATAAAGCTTGGTATTGTACCTATTTCATATTAATTCCATAGTACCTACTCTGTATTATTTTTGTTAAGCGAAGGTGTTGATATGGTAACATAAATAGTAGAACAGTGTATGCTAGCGCCATCTAGTGGCAATTGGTAGGGAAGCAAGTTAAGCGTATTTTATTATCATACTTACCCGCCAAAATTTACTCTCAGGTTAATTTAAAGCTTCCTCTAGGGTTATCTCTTTATCATCATTACACTGTGTAAAACATATATTATTGTAACCAAATCTGTCAGTCTGTCTGCCAAATCTGTCTGGGCCCATAACCTAATAAAACACGCTTCGGGGTTTTCAATAGAGAGAGTTTTATTAACTTGCTTCCCTACTAATTGCCACTAGATGGCGCTAGCATACACTGTTCTACTATTTATGTTACCATATCAACACATTCCTTTAGAGATAATAAGTAATATCTCATAGCTAATTGTAAAAAAAAAATCTCTTTCAGCTTCAGCCGGCCGGCCCGGTTAAATTTCAGCTCCATCTAATTCTTTGAATCGTCTATTAGTAGATAATGCTCTACCCTCTTCTTTTGATAACGACTTTGTAATTCTCTTACTGAGAGATGTTTCTGTACCCTTCATATTCTCAACGCATTTAACTCTGTTCTCTAAAATAGAGCTCGATGCAGATGAGAAATTTAACTGTTTGAAATCAATAGTAGACATGTACGAGGCAGTAATACATCTTGTATCCCCTAAGTCAACTTCTGCTCAGGACACGGAAATGAGGGATATTTCAGCCCCACGAACTTCATCTGCAGCTCCGAAAGTTCCATCTGCCCATGACTTGTCAGATAACATTACCGTTGGAAACCATATCATAAGTATAATATTTACACTACATAACATCAGTAGGTAGGGAGTTTTTGGTGCCTACAGAGGACGCAAAAAGGGAGTGGCTCACTATAACAACGAAGAATGGTCTCAAATACGAAGACTTTAGTCAAGACGACAAGAACAACTGGTATGGGACAATGGGGCCATATTTAGACATGTTTTCGGCATACTCGCTTCGGTCCAATGAACTAAGATTGGGCCACAATAATATGCCTATAACCAAGTCCAATGGGGTGCACAAAAGTTTACCTGTCTCTAAATACGGGTTGTCTGGTGCCCACCACGTACTGCTTGAAGGGACTTCTTTCCCACCTGAGCGGAGATCCTCTATTGTGCAAAGTTTAGGACCTATGACCGCTTGGTTAGGGATGATAAGAAGCGAGGGTATTTATAGAAAAAAGTACGCTTCTGCTGTTAAGAGAGCTATGTCCCATGTCGACGAGATAATCGAAATCACTAACACCACTAGACAGGCATCAGAGATAGCAAACCTAACCACTTTATTGGCTGAGATAAAACATTCTAGTTGCCTTTCTCGCGGTAGTTGGTGACTACCGCGAGACAGGCGACTAGACTGTTTTTCCCACTAACAGTTTTCGCATATGTATGGAGAAATCAGACAGACAAACGAAAGTATTGTGAGTTCTTCAGCACCACAGGGGCAGGCGGATGGTACACTTACAAAATGGCATCTGAGTCTAGAGTACAATTCACTCTGTGTGGGGGACATGGAGAGGAGTGGGAAATGGGGAACAACCTGTCAGCCCTGACTTGATGGGCAACGACCGTTCGTTTTGGGATACGGTCGTATACGGGGCTGGCGAGGTATCGGACTCAGTGTCGTCAGTAGGGGCATATGCGCTGGGAATACCAGACAGAAACCAACTGTCCTGGGAGGCAAACACTCAGGCACAGGATGTTATGACCACCATGACCGGAATAAGGACACCGCTGGCACTGAACTAGAGCGACGTAACAGAGAGGGGACGCTACGAGCTAGTGGAGTCAGAGAAAATCAAACACATGCAAGGCGTGTCTGGGCACTGGCTTGAAAACCGAGTGGGGCATGAGGGCCTAGAAATAGTGGATTGTCCGAGCTTGGAAAAAGCGTTGAACCGGTTCAACGCTTTTCCGTCTGGACCTAACTCAAGGAGGTGAACCTCCTTGAGTTAGGTCCAGACGGAACGGACATCACGGTGTCCACCGTGGCGGCTTGCGTCTTGGCCGGAACACCCCCGTGGGATTTGGAGGCAGAAGTGCTCGCCGAAGTGTATCGGCGAGTGGCTGACTTCCGGGCGGAGAGCGGATTTCGCCCTCCGCCCGAAGACGTGCGCGAGTGGCGCGAAGCCCCTCGCCGAGCCACCATGGTGAGATGGTCGTTCCGGCTGGAGACTCCACGCGCTTGCTTCACCGCCGTGGAGGCCCTCCAGCCGGTCATCGCCGAGTGGGCAGGGCGGCAGCACGGGACCCTTACCTTCCGGCTGACGCAGGTGCTTTCCGGGCACGGTTGCTTCGGAAAGTACCTGTACTCGGTCGCTAGGAGGGAATCGAGTCCCGCCTGCCACCACTGCTTACGCCCGGCTCATACTATCCGAGTATTATCGACTGAGGGACTTAGCACCCAACATTTGTCCCCATAACCTGTGAAAGCTATTAAAAGAGTCGACGGGGTGGCTGAAATTGGGCGGACCCTTCATACACAAGGAATGGCGACTACTAACATATTGGGAAACGTACAGCGGGTACGTAGCACTAGTAGACATCAACACACTACGCGATGACGTTGATGATTGGTTAACAATCACCAAACATAATGGTGAGAGGAATTTATGGCAGAGGAATGGTCCCTACCAGAAAACCTTCCTACAATGAGAGAGTGGGTAGAGAGTGGAGTATGGATGCGAGGGAAGGCGGGGACAGGACGTAATACCATGATTAAGATAGAAGGGAAAGAGAAGAGGACCAGACGATATAAGGGAGTTGATGCGGCCCTCAAAAGCGACCAAGAAATAATTAACGAATTGCTAGAACCACGCAAGGAGGAGATGAGAATTATGCAGAAAAGTGAGGGAGGAAAGGTGCGACCTGTCTGGTTGGGGGAAACGAGTTATATCGGAAAATGGACTTCCTATCTGGACTGGTAGAGGTGGGGCTTTACGGATCCAAGTCCAGCACACTCTTCGCTGGTGCGGCTGGCAACGAGACCATCGACCGGGAGTGGCTAGAAGAAAATCGAAATAGCAATACACTAAAGGTCTCACTTGAGCAGTCCAGCTTCGACAATAACCAGTCAAAAACGACAATACTAGCGGTACTAATAGGAATGGAACAACACATATTGTTGCATGCTAGTGTACCGTATGAGTATAGGGTGGTATGGAACACTATGTGGGAGACACTTATAATAGCAGGGGTGAGTGTATTGATGGGTAATGACCGCTGTGATTGGGAAAATGGGGTACCATCAGGGTGGAGGTGAACGGCACTTATAGATACGATACTTAACATAGTGAGCTTCCGGACGGCAACGAGGTACTATAAGGAGTATTACGGCGTTGCTGTTCCGGTCGGCAAGAAGACCATGCAAGGCGACGATGTCATATTCACCACAGTATTGGTACAGGCCGTCGAGGCACTAGTGATTATGTACCAGACCTTGGGGTATAAGGTACACCCACACAAGACCTATATTTCAAGAGACAGGGGCGAGTTCCTGCGTCGAAGCTACGAGCGCGGGGGGATCACGGGATATACACCCAGGACCTTACTCGCCCTGCGTTTTCGGAACCCGATTATTCCTATACACATATCGCCAGCCGAGCGTTTATAGTCACGACTGGCGCTATGGTCACTGGCTCGCCAAAGAGGAGCGTGCCCCGAAAGCTGCGCCCAGATGTATCTCGAGGATGCAGCACAAGCAGGCATCGATGAACGTACGGCTTCGGCATTCGCACACACCCCTGCAACATTCGGGGTCTTGAGGTCGAACATGGCCACATGGGAAAGTATTTAATGATGAAGTTCGGACGCGAGCAACCGTGGCTGAGGCCACGCGTCAAAAAACCCCCCTTAGAGGTAAGGCCCACTCTAGGGAGGTGGAAGCAGAGACTGGAAAACCTCGACATCGACTATACCGGTTGATATCGGCAGCAATTCTCGCAACTGCTTGCCATCACGTGGGGCCTACGTGAAGCCGATATTACCGGGAATCCGATTTTCTTGGTATTAAGTCTTCCTTTAAGTAGCGGTCCACTTCAATGATTACTTGTGCAGTAGAATTAAGACGTACCGTTGCCAAGATTTCTTTGTCAATGTCATGCCAAAGGTCGTCATTTGCTTCTGCAATAATTCTGTATCGCTGGCTGAGGGAACAATTGCATTAGAAATAGAGACGCTGGCTATTGCAGATGTTTTTCTCCTCATTTCCTTCACCGCGTTTTCATATTTGGTAACGCAGTTAAATCCGATTTTTTTTAATCTCCGGCAAGTATTGTGGCTTCGGAATGTAACACCGATGATTCGATATCACCAAATCTCCCAAATATATCATTATAAAGTTTTTTAATGAGACATTGAACTGGTTGTGAGTAAGACGTAATTACAGGTTCTGCACGATGTCTAGTTATATGGTTTGTCATAATTTTACAGTAAACAATTACTTTTGAAATAGTTACCGATTTTTCTGAGGAAATTTCACTTGTAATATCATTGAATGGCTTGAATGAAGATTGGAAGTAGTTGTTCAATTACTGTAAATTGTTCAGAGCTAATCATTAAGTCGCTCCTCAGCGAAAACGTTGCAGATACCACAGCTTTCTTTAATTTTCAAAATGCGGTCTAACATTTGGAACGTAGAATTCCATCGTGTTTCTACATCTTGTTTTAACATTAATTCTGGAAGACCTAATTGTTTTTGAATTTTATTTAATTTATATTTTGCTTTAGTACTTCTTTTGTAAAATTCAACTATCTTCTTGACGTTTTAGATTATTGTTTATTGTGAGACCTCCCAAGCCTTTCCTAACAACTAGGTTAATTTGATGGGCAAAGCATCCAATATGCCTCCACCCTCCCAAACGTATTGCGGCCGTTATATTTGCTGCATTATCCGACACGACAGCGCTTACTTTAAAGTTAATATTCCAGCGCCTAAAACAATTTTTTTAAAAATTCCGCTAGTTTTTCACTTGTGTGCTTATCTTCATATTGAATACATTCTAATGTATACGAACACAATTCCATCTCTTCATTTATGTTACCGCGATGTAACTTTCTTTTGTGTAGTCGGACGTCCAACCATCAGTTGTCACAGAAACTGCTTTGGCAGAATTAAGCTGTTTCTGAACTGATTCAACTGTCTCAGTATAAAATTATGGAATCAAACTTTGCGATAAGGTTTTCTAGAAGGCAAAGTATAGCCTGGAGTTTGAACTACCATTTACAATAATTTTTTAAGCTCTGCTTCATCAACCATTCGCAAAGAATGGTGACCTTTCGAAATCTACTTCACCACTTGCTTATCTATAGCCTGCGATCTTTGCATGGAAATAGGCCTCCGTCTAGTGACAAAATCAGTGATCATCTGTTGAGCTCCTAAAGGTTTATTAATAGTTTTAGATGTCGTCGAATGGGATGTTGATGGTTCGGGTACGATTTCAAAAGGTGTTACTTCAACTTGCCGTTCAAGAGTTATTGGTATTGTGGAATGTTTTTGTGCATATGACGTGTCAAATTACTAGTATTTCCACTTGCTATGCTTAATACAGTACTACAATAACCACATTTAGTTTTTTCCACTTCACTAAAATGTCCCCAAATATCACTACGTTTTCGTTTCGTAGCCATTTTACTATATGAAATGATTGAAAATTTCTTTTAATTACACTATTAATAAAAATACACTATTAAAAACTTCGTTTCTATTTACACAGCCTATTTAAGTACACCTATTAGATTATGTACACTATCATCTACTTATGTGTTTTCGTGAGAAACTCTGATACAGTGACGCCGGAACCTTTTAGCTTGGTTTTGCTAAACCAAATATTGTCGCGAGTCAAAACAGACTGCAGCTTGACTAGGATTGGTCTGGTCTTCTGTGTACCTGTCCGACCTTTGTCCTGTCCGACCTGTCGACCCAACCTTTGGCAACGCTTGATGTCTTTTACATTGAAGTGCTCCTGTTCAAACCGGTCCTTGACGAGGGAGGCAACCACCTGAGAGGTGTCCTCTTTCTTATCCTCCACTAAGCCATGAAAGACATGCTCATACATCTCAAGAACATCAATACTCCGTGCGATGGCTTCCACTTGCTGTTGCAAATTGGTCAAGGACTGCATAGTTAGCAACTTAAATGCTGCAAACTCCACTGTCAGACTGGAGATAGTGGTAGGTGTGCTCGGCTCCTTCTGCAGTTTTGCCTCGAACTCGGCCATTTGCTTGTGGAAGTCAAGGCTGAGTCATCTGAGTGATGGATTCAGAGACTGTGTTCATCTTGGAAGTGAAATATAATAATGAAACTAATGAATGTTAACCACTCAAAGGAAAACACTTGCTCCGGCAGGTAGTATATTTATATGTTGTTTTTCATTAAATTTATGCTAATTATAACTGCGTTTACTATTTTTAAACTTTATTTAGATACAGAGAAAAAATACGCGACTTGTTTTCGCAACTACCTCCGCCGAAAAAGAATGATTAGAAACAGAACATACAGCTCATTTGGATCATGCCTACAAATTAAGAGACCAAATGAAAAAGGACTTGGCTACTGCTAAAATCAATGATTCAATAGAAACGCTGACTTTTGACCTAGAAAAGACGCACTGTTTACCGCGATTACCGACCAGTATAGTTTATTATAAGCGCCAACTGAACCTTCATAACTTAGGCATACATTGTGGATCTGATGGAAAGGGATACTTTCATATTTGACTAGAGCACGAAGCAGGGCGTGGAACCCAAGAGGTGGGAACTTGTTTAAAAAAAATATTATCACGCATTTAAAACCTGACGTAACTCAGCTGATACTTTGGGCTGATTCATGTGGCGGACAAAACAGAAGCATCAAAATGCAGCTGATGCTCTTGCATATTTTACATAGCCATGCAACCCTACAAAAAATAACTATTGGATTCCTTCAGCCGGGACATCCTTATCTTCCGAATGACTCGGAGTTCGGAGACGTTGAATGTGCTTTAAAATCACAGATACGTTTATAGACTGCAGAAGTTTATATTTCTGTTATGCAGAACTGCCACCGCAAGAACAAGTTTATAGTCAAGTAGTAAAAAGATGATTTTAAATCGGTAACACCTTTACAAAATGTCATCACAAATAGAAAATATGATGGAAAAAAACAAAAAATATCTTGGGTTTCAACTTTTGAAACAGAATTGCGCCGTGATGAACCATCAAAACTTTTCATGAAATCAAAACTTGAAGAGGAACCTCAGGTGATTGATATATCAAAAGGTAGAAAGGGTCGGAAACAGAAACCGAATTTCGATTTAGACCTTCCTATTCTATACGCGACTGGTCGTGAACTATCTACTGCAAAAATTAAAGACCTGAAAGAATTGTTAAAGCTCATTCCAACAGATGCAAAAGGCTCTTACAGTTGCTTGAAGAATGCTGCTTCGAGTGATTTTATTGATGATACTGATGGCTTGGGTAATTCTGTTGACTATGATATAGAAGAAAATTATATTGAAGATTAAATACTTTATTATTTACTTACGATAGTAGCTTATGCTGTTTCCTTGGTTATAATTATTAATACGAGCGATGGTTAAAGAAGATTAAAGCAAAGTAATTCTATAATGAGACTGAATAAAAGTTATGCACACATTAAGTTCAAAATAATTAGGTTAGTCATTTTGATATTTAATATTGTGAAAGAAAGACTTTTTATTGTAAGTTACAAGTTGATTTTATATAAATACTTTATAAATACTAAAGATCTCAAAAAACAAAAGCTCTTAAACATATACCTGACTTTTGTATAATTATATTAGTTGTTTAAGTGAAAGTGATTTTAAAATATCTCATTAACAAAATATTGAGAAAATGATTATTCTCGTAAGACTTATCAGAAGGTATTGTTGACATACAATTTAAGTAGGTAACTGTAATAATATTTATAGAAATATATATATGATATAATATTTTGTTCAAGAAAAGATTATTCGGAGGAAAAGAAAAATGTATTTCTTGAAAGAAGAAGAAAAATGTATATTCAATTCTGTTTTTTGTTACATTAGATAGATGACTTGTTTATATAGTTTAGGTGTTTAGGAAGTGCTGTGGAGCACTAGACGGCAAACATGTGATCATTACTTGCCCTATAAATAGTGGCTCAAATTATTGGAATTATAAAGGGACAAATTCAATCGTACTACTGGCATTAGTAGATGCAAAGTATAGATTCTTAGTTAGAGACGTCGGATCGTATGGTAAAAACAGCGATGGTGGAATATTTGAAAAATCCATCTTAAGCAAATTAATACGAGATGGAAAGTTAGAATTGCCCGCCCCTAAACCTTTAACTCCAAATTCAGAACCATTGCCAAATGTGATTGTTGCAGATGAAGCTTTTCCCTTGAAACCATTTTTAATGCGACCCTACAGCAAGGATGATGTTCGTAACAATAAATCCAACAAAATATTTAATTATAGGCTTAGTCGTGCCCGACGTATAGTCGAGAATGCCTTTGGCATTTCAAGATCAAGATGGCGTGTGTTTGCTGGTCCTATGGCAGTTCAACCGGACATGGTCGACAAAATAATTCTGGCAACATGTTGCTTACATAATTATTTAGGCACGGATAATTTGCCTTCAGACTGTGATTCACTACAGGCGAATTTGACAGAACCTACAGCCTTTGATCACTTAGATCCAATTCGTAGAAATTCCACACAGTATGCTTTTTCAGTAAGAAACAAATTCAAGGAATATTTTACTAGTGAAGGCGCGGTTCCGTGGCAACTTGATATTGTGAGGAGAGGTAGACAAAATTAAAAACTTGCTATCCTCACAAAAGTTACTACATTTGACGATATAGGCGTATTCAGTATCAATTTCTTTTGTAATAATAAATAATATACTACAAAAAATGCCATGAGAATATTGTACATGACAGACAAAAACAACTTTTTTCAAAGTTTTATGCCCTTTTAAACACCACATCGAAGCCCAAGGAGTTTTCTCGATTGTATCACTTACCAGAGGCGAATGGAAAACATATTCGGTTGTGTAAGTCATTTTTTAAGCAAGTTTTTAAAGTATCGGACGGACGCCTTACAAGGGTTCTGGTTCGGTTCTTGGCGATGCCGCTCCCATTGATAAAAGAGGCAGGCACATTCCGTCGAATAAAACTCCAGAAACAAGAGTAAATGAAGTGAAGGATTTCATCAATACTTTTCCGAAATATGATTCTCACTACACAAGACACAAAAGTGAAACGAGACAGTACTTGCCTCCTCACCTAAATTTGTCAATAATGTATTCTGAATACAAAAGGTTAAGGTTATAAGGTTGAAGGACTAGTTCCAAAATACATATTCGAAAAAATATTTAATGAAAATTTCAACCTCACATTTCATGCTCCGGTAACTGACTCATGTAAGCGATGTGACAACTTCAAAGTAAAAATTGACGCTTGCGATAACAACAAGCTTTCTAAAAAAAAAATTAGCTTACTATCGCCAAAGAATTTCATTTGCGAAAAGCAGAAGCTGCGATGAAAAATTTAAAACTTGACAAAATGCGAAGCAGGATAACGAAACTACCGTCATAATCTTTGACTTAATGAAGACTCTCCCAACAGCAGTAATTTCAACTGGTATTTGCTACTACAAGCGTCAGTTACTGTTACTGTTTAGGCATTCACAATGCTGGTACAGACGAAATGTTTATGTATGTCTGGGATAAATCGACAGCATCCAGGGGACCACAAGAAATAGGTTCATGCCTCCTAAAATTTATCAGAGAACATGTACATACAAAGAGGCTAATCATGTTCTCTGACCAGTCTGGCGGGCAAAACCGCAACATAAAAGTTGCAGCGTTATGCGTGCATATTGTTTCAAGTCCTCAATTTACAGTGGAAAATATAGACCACAAATATACGGTCAGCGGGCATTCTTTTTCATCTTGCGACTTGGCTTGGTGGAAAAACAAAAGAAGTATTTCCCAGACATATACGTTCCCGAACATTGGAACAATGTGATACTAGCAGCAAGAAAAAAGAAACCTTTTAAAACTGTAGAAATGAAACGAGACGACTTTATATCTACCAAAGCCTTAGAAACTAATATCACAAACAGGAAGATCGACGTTGATCGAAGTAAAGTTGAATTGCTTAAAATACAGTGGATTTTGTACAATTAAAGCCATCCATTCTCAATGTTCTTCAAATACTCCAACGAGCCAGAGGTTCTTTTTACGGAGGTCAATTTCAGCAAGAGGTCATCCCAAAATACTTCAAACTTTGAACTAGAGATTTTATTTCCAGAGGGAAGAAAAATCAGCCATAAGAAAAAAAAGACCTTCTATGCCTTTTGGAATATGTTCCACCTATCTATCACCCTTTCTATCAGCAACTCAAAGTCTCCACCAATGCGGGAAACGAACTAGATGGTGCACTTAGTGATTCTTCGACTGAGTAGCTGGCTGGGTAATTTAATACTTTGTTATGTGATGCCTAAGATAGTCTTAAGTTGAAATAAAAAACTATAATAAATTAATAATGTATGAGTTTACGATAAAACAAGAGTTGAATAAAAATTACACAGTAGTAAAAAAGCTAGTTCTAAGTTAAATTTGTACTATTTAAGTTGAAAAATGGCAATTTGCATTTAAATCAATAAAAGAAGTGATAAGGTTCATACATATTGGCCTATTATTTATACACTGTTTATAAATATATTGTCAATGCTAAGTGCCAAAGTGGCCTATCTGCAAAAAAATTGTACAAATAACAAAAGTACTAATTATTTTTATAGTTAATCTAAATTCTATCTATAACTAATATCATATTTTACAAATTTTAAACACAATGTCTATGATATTATTTACTTACATTTATTTAAAATTTCGCCTCAACTATTTTGGACATATCCACTTAATAGGTCTTTACCTATGAAATAGCCGTTTTGTATGCAATAAGTGAAAGTACTTATTTTTTGAAACTTTTTTATTTCTGTTATTCGAAGTAATCACCCATACAATCGACGCATCTTTGCCAACGCATTGGCAGTTTATTGATGCCCTTCTTGTAAAAATCAGCTGGACGGAAGGCAACAAACTCTTCAAAGGCATTTTGTACTGCCTCTCGGGAATTGAATTTTTTACCCACTAAAAAGTTGTCTATATTTTGGAAAAAGTAATAGTTGGTAGGTGCAAGGTCGAAATAATAAAAATTAATTCAGACTGTGTTATAAAATAAATATATATATGGATAAAGGTACAATCATTGACTATTTTTTTTATATTCCACATTTAAAATGTGAATACAATTATTTTTTTAAATTAAAAACTATAAACAAATATATGTATATATATATATATATATATATATATATATATATATATATATATTTTTATATATAGTTTTGTCAACATTGCAATGGCTTGATCGAATCATTTAGGGAAGCAGGCCATCATTAATGTTTTCGTGGAAAAGAACATATTTGAGTCAAAGTAGGTAGATATTCATAAATGAGTTATGGGTATGGCAACACATCAAATCCAAAAAGAAGCATATTAAATGGCAATCTTTCATAACTTAGAATCATAACCGGCCATCTTTTAGTTTCCACCAATGAGAGGGGTCCCTGCAGTCGCATCGCAACATGGCGGATAGTGCAAATTGAGTGCAATTTTATCACAAATTTTTATTGTTTTTATAGTGATTTAGTGTCTAAACATAAGTAATTCTAATCATGGAACATACCTTAACACCTGCTACTAATAACTTCACTAGAAAACGAAAAAGGAACAGCGATACGTGGAAGAAAATGTGTTAAAAAAGTAAGTAATTTCACGTTGTTCGTTATGATAGGGTTGTCACTTAAACTTACTATGTAAATAGTAATTTAAAACTTAACTTTTCTTTAGTTTTGATAATTACTAGCTTTTACCTGTAACACCGCCCCCATAGTTTCGATTCATAAGATTGATTGTTTTTCTATATCTCTTTCTTCTCATAACATTATATAAGTATGTATTCTCTAAATACTGTATGTATAATTAGGAAGCACTTGTTTTGATAATTCATTAGGAATGTTACCTACTTATTATGTATTACACTCATGTGATCGATGTTACAAAATTGTAGTATTTACAGAATATAATATTTTGAGAAGAAAATAATATGAGAAGGAAGGAAAAAAATAACTTTATAAATTATAGTTTAAATTTTTGGCCCGCGACCTGCGTTGCGTTGCCTGGCCTTTTTGGTCGTAAGACATGTAACATTCACACATTTTCTATTTTTTTTTGTTTAGGTATGATTCAAAGAGTATGCCGCAGAGAGTTTGCCATCACAATACACCAGCATTCTGACAATTCTGACATTTAGTCAGAATTTAACTATGGCGCAAATGAAAAAAAATCATCAGGATTCTTATTCCCATAGGAATAAAAAAGACCAAGATGCTATACTCTTAAAATTATGTAAAATAATGTCTGCTAACCGTACCAGTAAAAATCATTACAAATATAAAGGGAAGAAGCAAACTACCATAAAATATGGAGTGATTGTTCACAAGACGAGAATACCTATCTGTAATAAATTCTTTTTGCATATTTTTGGAATTACCAAACACAGAGTGGCATTTGTAATGAAAAAGTTTTATTACACTTGTGAAGTTGGTACTGAGCATCGTGGAGGAGACCGCAAAACAGCAAAGTTCGCTGATCAAAAACGATCTATTCACAACTACATTTCAACATTGCAATGCATAGAGTCTCACTACTGTAGAACATCGAAATCAGCTGAAGGAAAATATCTACCATCTGAATTAAGTTTGTTTAAATTATTCAAAATGTACAAAGTAAGTGAACATGTAGATCCTCTAGTGAAGTTGTCGTATTTCCGCCATGTTTTTAACACGTCGTACAATATTGGGTTTGGAACACCAAAGACTGATGTGTGCTCCACATGCTTGGAGCTTAAGGAAAAACTTAATATTGAAAGAGACCCAATTAAGAAAAATTTATTGATGGTAAAAAAACGTGTTCACAGTTTGCGAGCGAAAGCATTTTTTGAAAAAGTAGGCAGTGCACCTGAACATGTGAAAGTAATTTTATTTGACTGTCAAAAAAACCTGCCCCTTCCGAAATTGCCCGACCAGTCAACATATTACAGTCGTCAACTTTATTATTATAATCTTACGATGGTGGAGGGTACTTCGAAAAATCCATTGACAAAGAACAATGTTTTTGCTTACGTTTGTACTGAAAATGAGTACAATAAACTTTCTAATCTCATTGCATCTGCTGTGTATCATAGACTCACCGCAACCGAGAAAACCGATATCACACATATTCGGTTGATCGCCGACGGTTGCGGTGGGCAAAACAAAAACTGTATAGTTTTGGGGACCTGTTCTAAATGGCTATTGGAAAACCCTTGTATTCATTCAATTGAATTGATATTTCCAGTTATTGGGCATTCTTTTATGCCTGCGGACCGACAGTTTGGTGTGATTGAAAGAAAACTGAAAAACAAGGAAGTTATTCTGCATCCAAATGAGATAACAGAAATCATAAGAGAAACTTCAAGTATCGTGAAATTCGGAAGCGATTGTATTGTGAGTGATTGGAGTGACAAAGTCAGAAAAGTGCTAAAACAAACTACGTCATGGTCAGTCCAGTTTAAAGAATGTTAAAGATTTATATTAAGACAGTCAAAGAAAGCTGGAAATGTGCTAGTTCGTGGAGAACTAAATTATAAAACAGATTTAGGTAAATTTGAAAACATATGTCAGCGAAATAAACAAATATCTATGCTAAATCCTGAACCTCTGCCAAATATTGTAGCCTTAAACAAAAATAAGTTACAGGATGTAAAGAAACTTCTCCAAAAACATTACGGGTCTGAGTGGGTAGCTTTACGTTCTTTAATGTTTTATAAAGAACTCCTCCAAACACAAGAGGAACTAGTGGCTCCACAAACCGAAGAAAGTTTCTGCAACGAATCAACTGGCGAAACTATTGAATTACACGTTTAACCGATTCAATGCCCGCAATGATTAATGTATTATAAAAATATTCAGTAAATAACATTCTTTAATTTTGACAACCCTGTTCTTCGATAAAACTGTTGAATTCATAATCAATAATTCAAATATTTACCAAGCTTAGGTTCAAACACGGTCATTATTTAAGTTGACTATCAAAAGCGGCAATCTAGTAACTTTATTTAAATATTATGGTGCCTTCGGATCATGTTATGCTATGGGTTTAATGTTTATTGACATTTGTCAAAACTACAAATCACAAAGAAATATTCAATATAAAAATCCTTGTCTAAATATGAGAATACGCAGTTTTTTTTGGTTTGCCAAAAATTTGGTTCGACCTACTTTGCCGTCTTTGATACTATACGACTCAAATAAAAATAGCACAGCAAAAAATGTAATTATACATTTGAAATCTATTTTTGCTCTTCACGGAATACCTTTGTCGTTAGTGTCTGATGGTGGGCCACCGGTCCAATCATTAGAATTCAATTTTTTTTTACATGAATGGGACATAGAACATATTGTTACTAGCCCATTGCATCCACGGTTCAACGGTCAAGCAAAATATGTCTAAAGTATGTGTAAATTGACTGCACGGTTGACTGCACGGATAGCGTAGTGGTTTAAGCGGTCGCCACGCCGCTTCCTACTACGCCGAGTGTTGTGGGTTCAAACCCCACATGGGACGACACTTTGTGTGATCCACAAATTGTTGTTCTGAGTCTGGGTGTTCTTTGTGTCCGTTTCATGTATGTTTGTAAAGTCCCCCGCGACACAGGATATATTCCTAATGCGGGAGTTGTCTTTAAAAAAAAAAGAAAGAAAGAAAGAAAAGAAATGTCTAAAATAGTGTCTAAATATAAGTCTTTGTAAAGTGTGTACATGGTTTCTACAGCATGGTCGTTCAGTCATTGTTTTGGACTTAAGAAGGGGGATGTGTAACATCACTACGTACCTTAGTGAGTATGTCGCATCACTAAGGCACGTAGCAAGATGCACATACTCGGGCGGACATTGCTCTGACTAGAATATAGTTATCTGTGTCGCTCTGCTACCCGTCATACTGCTTGTTCGGTTCACATACTATAATTGATACGCTGATTATATGATAAAATAATATGGTAAAGCCGTTCTTATTTATCGTCCTAATCTCACGCGAGAATGCAACTATGCGTACCTAACACATTGAATAATCAATATCTCAGCTCTCATGAAGGATAATTAGATATAAAATTATATACTTTATCCAACTTTACCTAAAACCAACACACACAACCAGTATTATTATCCTGTTTATTCTGATTCAACTGTAAATGAGTATTCAATGAAAATTCAATATATGTTTATAGCTTGTTTTCTTAAAATCTATTCTTATCTACGAGCAAAATGCTAGAGCAACATTTTGATCTAAATAGTACAAAGAATCTATTGGTGACTTTATAATTGAATTATCTATTACGAGTTGTTGCACATTTATGTTGTAGTGAAAGTTGAAACAAAATAATATTATAAGTAATCAGTGTTTGTTTAATTCTTCTTTCTCACACAGAAATGTTTTATTACAGTAATTTTACTTTGATGGCACAATACAATTGTTCTCTTTACACATGGAGAATAAAATTTAGAATAATTTCAAAGGCTATGAAAATACATAATAATCAATTTTATCATTATATAAGCTAAGATAACAAATCTGTATAAATGTGAAATTATGCTAATAAAAGTTTACCTAAGAAAGCAAGATTTTTAACCTCATATTACGTAATTGATAAAAACGTTAGAATTAATAATATTTTATACATAGTTTAACTTACCACATGAAATGTTATTGTTGTAACACTGTACAATTGTTGTATTATACAACTATTATTCACAGCAAAAAGATTTTTGCTCTTAACGTGACGGCCCTTGAAAACAAAAAGAGCGATCATGCTCGGTATTAAATGTAGCCGCGCGCCCGGAAGTAAGAAAACGGTGGAACCCCATAATTAAGGTTGTCACTTTTTTTTTGTACAAATAAAGTACATTGGTTATTAAAGTTAGAAAAAAAAAACATTTAAATGAATAATTATCTCAAAATGAAGTACATAAAAACTTATTTTATTACTTTTAGCAACTTTTAATAAATAATTATCACTGCTAAACAGCTTCACAGCATCTGTACACTATACATTTAAGTTAAAATAAATAAATAAATATTTTTTTATCAGATTCAATTTTTGAATCTTCAATCTGTTAAGATAGTGGAGGCATTCAAGTACCTTGGCCATATCGTTACATCCAGCTTTAAGGATGATGCTGACGTAGAACGACAACGAAGGTCTCTCTGTTGCGTAGGGAATATGATAGCCCGTAAATTGTTTAGGTCTTTCTGTCATACCTTCTACACGAGCCAGCTCTAGACTGATTTTACTAAAAAGACGCATGATAGAATACGTGTGGCTTACAATAACATCTTTAGGCAACTAATGGGCTTGAAGCGCTTCTGTAGCGCTTCTGAAATGATAACGGAAGCACGCGTTGACTCTTTTAACGCCATTCAACGAAAGAGGATTGCTTCTTTCATGTCCAGAGTCGATGCATGCGATAATCTGATTATCAGGGGTTTGGCAGAGAGACTTATACATACCTCAACATTTAGACGATGGGTAGAAACTGTAATCTGACCTGACAATACTGTAATTAATAAGATAATTGTATTTTTTACCTATTTATATATTTACTCTATTATTAAATTCGTAATATTGTATGTATATTATAGTTAAGATATGGATCAAGTGTCTGAATTAAATAAATAATAATAATTACTTTTTGTTTATTACCTATATAATGCCTTCGAAATAGTATTTAGTGCCCATTTAAGGTGAAACATAAAATACTTACAAATTGCGGTGCAATCCATTGAAGAATTACATGTCGCACTTCAACTAGGTTAAGAGCATAATGTCTCCTTCTGTGAGTCACATCAGTTGAGGTGTATAGATGCGAAAGCGCCTCTATCCACTTTTTTGAAAAACATGTATTTTTTATTACTGGCAACCTTCTACTAATTCTCTTTATTTTCATTTATTCATGTAAGTTCAAAATCGCCTCTATCCAGTTCAAAACTTCATGAGATATCTGTAGTTAGAAGCAAAACCGCCACTCTTAAATCTTGAGTAACAAAAGCGCCACTATCGCGACTCGACCAATCACAGCACAGTATTTCATATGGACTTTAATGGCGTCCGTGTGTTGTTTTCGTGCACCGCGTTGCTTTATTTTTCTGTTATTAAATATAAAAACGACAAATAATGGAAGTAAATATTGCCCCAGTGGAAGGTAATAAGGGAAGAAAAAGGATTCGAGATGAAAATAAGTGGAAGCGCAACATAAAAAAGCTTGAGAGGTAAGTTTCGTTTACCTTACAACCTTGGCTGTGTTTATGCAATAATGCGACGCAGAAAATGCGGCGCGGGCGCCCGCTCTCATGTTTGTATTTTGTTGTAGTATTGAATATCGATTTTTTAAACTACTGTATACCATACTAGCAAATTAACTATGAAATCATAGGCCATAATAAGATAATAGCGTTTTAAGCAAAAAAAATAATTATTTCAGGTACTCATCTAAAAAACCACCAAATCTGGCGGATATTACAAGCTGTAGGTATAAGAAAAATGAGAAATTAAAGTGCAGTACCCTAAATTCTCAAGATATTAGACAATTTCATCAAGCATTTTATGTCAAGCTGAATAAAATTGTCCAAGACAATTTTATGCTGAAATTTATGAAAGTTCATGTACCGAAGCGTCGAAGGCGTAAAGTGGGAAACCGCGCAGAATCGGTTACTTTTACAAAATTGTATGTCCGAACATTCACAAAACCGTTTAAGCTAGTAAGAGTTTGTCAACGTGCCTTTTCAAAAATACTTGGCGTTGGTATTCATAGACTGCGAAATATATCCAAAAAATTCTTATTAGAGGGCAAAATACCACAAGGAAACCGAGGCGGTGGTAGTGTCCAGAAAGAATGCCGCGATAAGGGAAAATGTGAAGCGATTCATCGAGTCATTTAAGTGTATTGAGGCACACTATTGCGGATCAAGTACTTCAGAAAGAAAATACGTATCGTCTGATTTGAGCATCAGTAAAATGTGGAGAATGTATGAAGATAAACAGGAGGACGAAAGTCTCAGAGTGCGCCATTCTTCCTTTAGACACATTTTCAACACAAAATATAATATTGGATTCGGATCACCGAGGGTCGATGTTTGCTCAAAATGCACGGAGCTGTCAGAAAAAATCAAAATCTCGCATGATAGCGCAAAAGTTCAATTGAAAGAAAGAAAGAAAAATCGTTTATTTTGGCAATAATACAACAGTTTGAACAATTGCAACTTGAATTACCAACGATGCCAAAAACGGACCCAATTCAGCCTTATGTCAGATGGAAGCCTGACGCTGGTTTTCAATTGGGCCCAAAATGATGCTATGCGTAAACCCTGTTGCAGATCATTAATAACACATGTAGTACACATTGTATACATACATCACAACATTAATACATAACAAGACAAATTACAAATATGCAGATCACAATAAAATACACTACGATATACACAATATCCAACAACGTTAATCTATAAATCTCTAAAGTCCCTAAAGCGTGCACGCCCCTCATCCCTGACGCTCACGTTAAATCAGGGAATTGATGACTGCATTGCGGGTTCACAAATTAAAAGCAAAATGTTTTTACACTTCTTTGCGAGAATACGATGAACAAACGTTTTCCATATCAGTTGACTGTCAAAAAAACCAGGTCTTACCAAAAATCCCTGACCAAGTGGCATATTATTCGAGACAACTATACATTTACAATTTTACCATTGTAATTGGCACAAGCACAAACAAGTTTCTGAAGGAAAATGTCAGAATATATACGTGGACCGAAAACATCTATGCTAAGTCGTCGAATGAGATGGCATCAGCCGTTTTCGATTTACTTTAACACGCTGATTTTACTGGCAAAAAAAAGGTGCGAATGTGTGCGGATGGGTGCGGCTCACAAAATAAAAACAGTACAATTATCGCTATGGTTGCTTACTGGTTAACGAATTGCGCCCCAACGAGTGTCAAGACGGTCGAGCTTATATTTCCTGTCCCCGGACATTCATTTATGCCGGCCGATCGTGTTTTTGGACATATTGAAAAAGAAGTCAAAAACAAAGAAGTGATTATAGATCCATCCGAATATAGAGACATATATGATCATTATGGCGTTGTTCGCAAATTGGGTGAGAACTGTGTAGTGAAGGATTGGAAGGCCTATGCGAGTGAAACAATGAAACCGCCAGCCAAATACCACTTCAATTTTGCAGAGTGCAAGAAGTATTATGTAAGCAGAGTGAAGAATAATCTGACTGACTATTTGAGGATAAACGAATGAAAAAAAAAAAAAAAAAAAAAAAAAAGGTTGCAACCAAGCCGGGGGTCATCATGAGAAAAATTATTTAAATTCATTTTGAATGGAATATCCAAAAATAAACGAATAGTAAGACCACGCGCGCCTAAAGCGAATACCAGATATGATATGTCATAAAACTATAAGACGTTTGTCAAGTGTTGTTGTTAGAGTGAGAGAACAAAAAAATTCCCATGTTCTGTTTAATATTCTTCATCACAATTTATTTTTAGACATATATTTTGTCTTAAAAAAAGATATATATTAAGAAAATAAAATTACAGACTTCAAAATACTTTGTGAAACTATTACCAATTGGTGTGTTTTTTTGGATCACTTTTTCCACTACTTTTTTTTAGTATGCAACACTTTCGAGCCATTCTGTCAAAAAATGAACGGATTGTACGTCATAAATAGTTATAAATATTTTGAAATATTGTTTTATCATGTTCATTTGATACTACTAAATTGTACCCAAAATTATTTCATAATAAAAGAAAATTACGACCATGTTCATTTGTTTATAAAACTGCTGCCGCACCTTGGCCCACTTCTGTCAGCCTCCCTTAAAATAATATTTTATGTATTATATATTTATGTGTTTAATTATGTTTTAAAATAAATAAAAACTAAAAATATTAATTTCCTTCTCTTCATTTTCGACAATTTCGCGAAAATGCATGAGCACGATCTTTACAACTTATCTTATACCTTTAAACGAGCAATTTTCATATATTTATATCGAATTATACCGATATGCGTGCAATATTACGCGTGTCGAGCACTGCGCGTGTGCTATCAATATGCTGAAATTTTGCCAGCGTCGTGCGCTGTCGAAATTAAAGAAAAAAAAAAACCAGCACGGATAATGGCAAAATGACGACACGAAAAATAATCGGCACGCGCTACTTTGCTACACACAGATAATAAGAAAATTAAATATATTTATTTCTATCTACATTTTCAACGATATTTCTGGTATATATATATATTTCTGGTATATATATAGATACGGCATATTATATACATGTATCAGCATTTTAGCGCCATTTTGCAGTCTGACGTTAGCATCTCAGGAAGCACGTGCTTCCTCGCATCCACGCAAAATAAAGTCGTATAAGGAGTTGCAACAAATAATTATTTATTAATCAGTGCCTGTGTGACTTGTGTAGCAGCTGTGGACTTTGCATTTTTGGATTTGCAAAAAACTCGCAGCTTTTGACGAGTGTATATCGGAACTTGGAACACACATACAAAAGGTGTAAAAGGTCTCTTTAAATTATTAATTTATATTACATCTATCCTTTTTGTCATCCGTTCATAGTTTTTTTATAATATTTCAATGTATATAACTAATTAAGACGTGTCGAACTCGTGTCGTAATATACATATGTAAATTTGCAAAATAACCTTATTTTATCTACATATTTTATTCTCGATGCATTTTGCTTTGTCAGTTGGTCTAATAATTATACATGCTTAGCCACTGTATTCGTTTTGTTTGCCCAGTTGTATTAATTATCATAAAAGCTGAATTATAAATAATTATCAACTAATAACTTATAGGTGCAGGGGATGACATCAAGAGAGTTGCTGAGTTCGAGGATGATGCGCAAGATATGGATAAAGAAAATGAAGAAAATAATGCTGTAGAAGAAGATGAAGCGAATTTTGATGAAGGAAAAAATTAAGAAGAAGCCGATGACACCGAGGAAGAAATGGAAATTGAGTGCCTTATGGACGAAATACATAATTTCGCAGTCTGTATACATATATATGTCTGTATAATACATAAAAAATAAAGTTTATCTATTCAAATTACTATTCTTATTATTTACAAAATATATTTTTAATAAAAATAATATATTTAGTGAATTTCTGCCTGTGGAGAGCACGGTGTGCTAGCACGCTGTGAGCGCTATGTGCCGGCACAGTGCTATCACACTGATAATTTCGGGTGGCACATTGATTCATCACTGAGACGGCACAAGGACAGCACGCGTGCTTTCCACACGTGCCGTCACTGTGCCGTCCTGGGAGCGGGGCAGGAATTAGTCACAGTGCAACCACGCATGTCCCACGCATGTCCCACGCATGTCATGATTGTGCCGTCAGTGTGCCGACATAATGTTATCTGGGAAGCAGGCATAAATTTGGCATTTTTTTATCTCGCCGTGCTGACATTCGTGTGAGCAATGCGACAACATTATGACGATCGATTGGGCGGCATTGCTTCAACACGCGTGGACAAATTTTCGCGTTTTCAGAATGTAGGCACAATGTAAATTGGCGTGGCGAGATTTTTAACAAAATTTTAGGCGCACGAGACTCGCGTATAATGATGGCACATGGCCGTCTCGGCGTGCTGATTTTCATAAGTGCATTAAAAAAAATGTTTTTAAACAAAAAATTGCAAATAGCAGTAAAAGATACTTGGATTAATCTTTATTTGTTTATTAATGATGGCTGTAAAAAGAATAGATCACTACTTTTTAGAAAGTATATGAATTATACAACATAATAAACGTTAACGAATTTATTAAAACAAGTACATAATAAACTTTGACAAATAACAACAATGCAGAGGGGGTAGGTAAACATATTATGCCATTTCGTGTTCAACTCCCCTACTGCGAAATTTTACGTATATGAATCTTAGGTGAGCTGAATTGAGACTTAGAAAATTGTTAGCCGAAATTATGTTTATTTAGCACAAGATATATTGTAGGTATATATAACGTATGTATATAATTGGAACTTTGAAAATTTTCATATTATATGTGCTAGAAAATTTTACAGCCGACATGAATGTTGGCACATTGACGACTCGGCGTGCAGACAGCCTTTCATTATAATATAAAATTAACCGCATTTATAATAACATTGTTTTTACGCAAGTAATTGTAAATAACATTTAATTCTTGTCTTGATTGTCATATATCCTGTAATAATTATTATAAAATAGAAATGAATTATATTAAAAAAACGAATATCGTATTTATAACCGAATTCAACTTTTACAATAATAAACTTAGATAAATATATGTAGGAACAATGAGTTATGGGCAAGAGGGGATATATATATGAACATAATAAAATTAATCATATATGTATATATATATATATCGCTCCCGTAGTAATATAGGGGCACATCTCAAAAATCAGAGGTTTGGAGTTTTTGTAATAAACGGACACAAAATACACAATACTATAACTTGGCTTGGACAGAAAGAGACAACGGACAATATGTAAGCATTTCGCATTACTTGTGTCTCACTTCCCTCTTCTGAACCGCGTCTCCCCGCTAGAGAGGCCCATTCAGTAAGATGCCGATATCGTGTTGAAGCAGATGTGTTTAAGAGCGTCCTATTTCCAGTTGGGCCCTTCTATTACGAAACTTGAGGTAAGTTTTATTTAGTTATATTTGTGATATAAAGACTAATTAAGACCAAATGCTTCACCTAAACCTAAGAAAATTTTAGGTTTTATGTTTAAAAAGTGCATTATAATACTAAAATAATTCAATCATTTTCGGAACTATATCTAAACTAGTCTTGCTATTACAAAAACAACCGTTGGATTTGAAGTTTCATTAAGAATTGAATCCTTACAAAATTAAAATAATTATATTTTTTTTTAGTTGGGTCCGTAATTGAAAGTACCTACTTGCGTTATCTACCTAAATCGTTGATGCTGGTCCATGTTAGTATTTACAAACTACATTCCTTACTATGTATTGTATTTTGTTAATAATGTGTAATACGTGTAAATACATTACAGAAACATTTCAGAGAAAATCGAAGAATGAAGACGTCACGATCGCGGAAAATTATGGACCTGCTTAATACGTCAAGTCCAGCTGACGAACTGATAAACAATGCTGATAAGGACCAAAATGTAATTCTCTAATGTAAATAGTGAAGAAAAAGAAAATATCCCACTAACTAAGTCAGATAACTTTTTAAACCATGAAATGGATAATAATATTCCGCAATCAATATCAAGTCCTTTGATTGAGACTGATTTAGTATCTGTAACAGCATCAAAACGTACATTGAGATCATCTTCTAGTAGTTCCAGCTCATCTTCTAGCTCCGAAAGTAGTAGTTCTTCAAGTACATAATCTTCTAGTAGCAGTTCAACGTCCCGCAATTCTTCCCCGGAACGAAAACAATCTGTTCCGAAAATTCAAAATTTGAATGAAATTGAGGAGCAGCCTCAATCAACAGGCGAAGAAGTAGTCACTCGGAGCCAAATCTGGAGAATGGGGCGGATGAGGGAGCAATTCATAGCCAGATTCATGGATTTTTGCCATGGCAACTGCACATGTGTGCACCCTTGCATTGTCTTGGTGGAAAAGAACTTTTTTCTTGGCCAAATGAGGTCGGTTTTTTTCAAATCGTCATTGAAGCGGTCCAATAAGTTGGCATAATATTCCCCATTGATTGTTCTTCCCTTTTGAAGGTAGTCAATGTGGATTATCCCGCGTGCATCCCAAAAGACAGTCGCCATAACTTTATTGGCTGACAAACCCACCTAGGCCTTCTTTGGCGCCGATTCACCCTTAGAAACCCACTGTTTTGACTGTTGTTTGATCTCTGGTGTGTTGTGATGGATCCATGTTTCGTCCACGGTTACAAAACGGCGCAAAAACTCCTCCATATTGCGATTAAACAACGCCAAACCTTCCTGTGAAGTTGTTACACGATTGCGTTTGTGGTCGACTGTGAGCAATCGCGGCACCCGTCTTGCGGAAAGCGTTCTCATGCCCAAGTGATCATTCAAAATTGAAACCACTGAGCCATGCGAGATCCCTACGGCTTCCACAATCTCTTGCACTTTCAATCTTCGGTCGGCCGATCCGATTGAGCCATGCCAAAATCATGAAATCATTATTTTTTACAACTGCATATTTTCATTCCAAAGGCTATAAAATGCCATAATTTGAATAGAAAATAAAAATTAACGACTTCTACCGTCTAGTTTTAGTGATATAGCAAAAGGCTCACATGTGGGTCCTGTGGCCTCTTACAAAGGAATATCAATTTTTCCGTTGGCGGGGGCCGCGGGGTCACTCCGCGGCCCACCCAGCGAAAGCAGTGAATACGATCAACTTCGGCTGGTCAGTATCGCGCGTTGCGTCAATAACTTGTGTTGCGTAATATTTTGAATGCAAATATGGATGAGTTTGAAAAGTTCGAGTTAACACAAGAGGATATATTACACTTGGAGAATATTGAAATAAATCTTCTGAACCATAATTTTGAAGTAGATACCGATGTAGATGTTCAACCAAACAAAAGGAGATGTCGCCGAATTATTTTGTCAGAGAGTGAGAATAGCGACGATGAAATCTCAAGGGTTATTGCCGATACTGTTGGTGAGTCACTTTAATTTTTTACTAGCCTTCCGCCCGCGGCATTGCCCAAGTGGATGTAAATTTTCGATTCGATCGATAGATTTTGAAAAAGTGAACGTCCAAGACGTGACCATCGTCGCCCCGAGACGGTTGTAAAAAGGATTGGAGAATTTCGAATATTTAAGACGTGTCCGAGTAGCTCAGTGGTCAGAGTATTCCCCCTGTAAGGGACTGATTACGGGTTCAAGTCCCGTCTTGGACGCTCACCCCCTCCAATTGAAAATAGATAGGTGAGATGTTATATCTGACTAAGTCCTTTCAAATAAAAAAAATTGTCTGTCTGTCTGTACCTACTGTATGTCTGTCTGTCTGTCTGTTACGCTTTCAGGCCTAAACCACTGAACCGATCTTGATGGTATCAGTCGTTTTCAAAGTATGCGTACTATTACTGCTAAATGTTTGTCCTCATACAAAATCTTTGAAGAAAATATTTTTCTGACTAAAATAAAAATTTTTTTTAAATTACACAGATTAATTTAAACATAGCTGCATATTATTCCTGATAAAAATCCTAGCATAAGTTGAATGTGAAAATAAAGTAACAAAAAATCACCATACATTTTTTATTGTCCCCTATTTGGACGACATTGAAAATATATTTTTTAATAAGAATTTTTGTATGAAACTTACTAGGTTTTGTGTACCATAATTAAAAAGCAATGTTTAAGTGTTATGTCAGATAGATAAACTATGTAAATTTACGTAAAATAAACTAAGAATGAACATTTAAAAAATGTCCCTTACAATCGTAACAATTTCGTGACACTGATTTATTGACATATTAACAAACTTTTTGTATCACGAAGAGCAGGAATCTAACTTTAATCACGGACAACACTGGTCATGTCATGAAAAGTAACATCACAATGACGTGCCGCTATTTATTTTGTCATTGAGACACGGCAGAAGCTCTGTGGATCAACTGTTGTAACCCTTTCCTGACGAGATCTTCTCAACGAAAGTAAGTAGATTTTTAAGAATTCACCTACCGCAATTATAATATACTTAAATTATGACATGGATAATAGATTAAGCTTTCAATCTACTGGTAAATGTGATTATTTTTTGTGTAAAAACATTTTTTAGGTTAAGTTTTACACGTTTAGTGACGAACAATTTCCTGATATTTACTGACATCAGTAAATTGTAGACGGTAAGGCTGAGGTCTCATTTGTAAAGTATGAAAGTAAGGTTTTAAAATGAGTGTTATATGTAACGAATAAATACAAAGGAGAGACACGAAAAATGCAGATTATTCGTATGTGAAAATTAGTTTACCGCACGCAAAATTAAATGAATGAAAAAAGCTTTTTCATGGATACAGAATGCTTAATATTCATTTAATGCTACACAAAAAGTCTAAATATTAATTATTTATTTCCCTATTAAGAGCGTTAACGACTTACGGCATTTCATACAAACTTTCAAGTTCTTTTTTCCGAAATGATTGAACAGATTTTAATGAAACTTCATACGCATAAGCAAGATACATAGGTCTAAAAAGTTGACGTTAAGTGTTACAGCTAAGTTAGACCAATTAAAAAAAAAACAACTTAAAAGTTTGTATGAAATGCCGTAAGTTGTTAACGCTCTTAAATATCAGACTTTTCGTGTAGCTAAAAATACTGAATTTTGTTTGTATGAAAAAATTGGCATTTGTCTAGATTTTTTTTTAGTAACGCTTACCTTATTGCATTTAGTTTTGATCGCTTTCCCACTCTAGCAATATTTACTTTTATTTTTAGTGTTATTCAAAAGATATCCAACAGCTTTTTTTAGTTTCAGAATGCCGCTGACCGGTGCCGAACGGCAAAAAAAGTACATTGAAAAACTGAAAGAGCAAAACCCTGAAAAATATGAAGAAAAAAGAAAAAAACACCTGGAGAAAGTGAAACAAAAACAAAAAAAATATCAAATGTTATTGATAGTGAAAAAGAAGCTCGAAGACAAAAATGGAAAGAGATAATGATAGAAGAAAAGAAAAGAAAAAGCACACAGAAAAGGTAAAAAAGGAAGAAGATAGATATAAGGCGAAAAAGAGAAATATATGCAGCTAAACGCGTACTATACTTAAAATCAGAAAATACAAAACTTAGGCAGGAAAATAAAAAACTTCACGAAAAGGTAAGCAGAATGATGAAAAGAATAGTTGTAATGAAAAAACGCATTTATAGAAGCAAAATGAGTATTGAACATCTCAAAGCTACAAACTTACATCTAGTCACAGCCACAGATAACAAGCCTGTACAAAGCAATTTACCCGAAGAAATAGAATTAGAAAAAGTAACTCCAATGTCAAAAGCAAGCAGTTTTGTCGAAGAGATTGTTGTAAGAGAAGAGGATAAAGAAAAAGTAAAGCGAAAAGTTTTCGAATTAAATGTACTTTCAGAATCTTTAAAACTACAGTATACCAATGCAGACACAAACAATGAAAAAAGACTACTCAAAAAGGTGGTTAACAATGATCTTGTAAAGAAATATAGTTTAACTACCAAACTAACAACAACTTTAGGGTTAAAAGGACGAATTAGAAATGATGATACAGTGAAAGAGGCCAAAGAAAAAGACAATATTAAAAAAATCAAGGAGTTCTTTTTACGCGATGACGTCAGCCGTGCCACAGCAGGCCGAAACGAATGCAAAACGCTAAAAAAAAATAAACAACAGAAACGTTTTCTTTTAGATTCCATGAAAAATCTGCACGCCAAATATAAATCGGAAGGTGGAAAAGACTCTTACACTACATTTACTCGATATAGACCATTTTACGTAATAAATCCTACTCTCAACGATCGCGAAACCTGTGCTTGTGCTTGAGCTTTTCGGCCTTCAGTATTAAATTGCTGTGTTTACACAGCAATTTAATACTGAAGGCCGAAAAGCTCAAAGCTTTAAAAATAATACTGAGTTGTAAAGTCACCGATTTAGTTAGGGAAGTATCTTGCAACCCTGAAGCTAAACAATGTATGTATGATACATGCCCATCTTGTATGTCAAAGTCCATTCCAGTTTCTCTTGAAGAAAATACCAATAACATCAATATCACTTGGTTTGAGTGGGGGTTCAAAAAGCATGAGTATATAAAGATTTTAAAAACTGGTGAAAGAAAACCCATGACTGCCAAAAAAATCGGAAAGGATATTAAAAGTGGTACCATTGGCGACCTAATTGATGAATTTAACAAAGAATTAAGAGTTTTCAAAAGACACTATTACAATGTTGGTCATCAGCATAAGGCTCTACAGAACTGCATACGGAAGCTATCTGAGCATGAAGCAGTCATAATTTGTGACTTCTCACAAAATTATGCCGGCAAATTACATAAGGAAATACAATCCGTTCATTTCGGTGGAAATAGAGATCAAATTTCTCTCCATACGGGAGTAATTTATAGTAAGAACAACAATCCCACATCGTTTTGTTCTATATCTCCATGTTGTGACCACGATTCTGGAGCGGTTTGGGCTCACCTTTCACCAGTTTTTGAATATACAAAACAAATAGTTTCTTCCTTAAAAGCTGTACACATGTATTCTGATGGTCCAGCCACACAATACAAACAGAAAAAGAACTTTTATCTTTTTGAAAATGTTGAAGAGTGGACTTTGGATGCTTCCTGGTCCTTTTTTGAAGCATCCCATGGGAAAGGGGCGGCAGATGGGGTGGGTGGAGCAGTAAAAAGAACTTTGGATGATCTTGTATCTCGCGGAACAGATATTCCTAATGCAACCATCGCTTTCAAGATGTTGAAGGAATCAGAAAAAAAGGTGAAACATTTTTTTATATCAGAGGAAGAAATAAGAGAAATGCAACAAAAAGTGCCCGATGAGTTGATTGCATTGCCAGGCACAACGAGAATTCATCAGATTATCACAACTGCAAAGCAAGGTTCTGTCCTATATCGAGACTTAAGTTGCTTTTGTGGCCCAAAAAAGGGTTGTTGTGCATGTTAATAAAATAAATAAATAAAATAAAAATAAAAAAGCCTTTTATTCCATGCATCTACAAAAAAAACAAAGTAAAAAAATAAATAAATCTTTTTGACATTACATGCTTGATTGTTAAAATATTATTATAATTAAGTATAAACTTTTATTCCATTTAACTTCTTATTAAATATAAATTACAATAAATTATTATGGTAATCATTTCATTATTTAAATTAAGAGTACAATAAAATTTAATTTGATAATAATAGAAAATTTAAATAGTTTATCCTTTATCTATTTATAATTATTTACATGGACCCCTCTCAGGTGAAGGCCTCCTCCAAAGATTTCCATTTGCTTCTGTCTCGTGCCACAGTGATCCAATCTGGTCCAACGGCCTTTCTGATGTCATCCTCCCATCGCATATATGGTCTACCAACACGCCGGTTGCCCTGAGGACCAGCCCATGTAGTTACTTCCGATGTCCATCTGTGATCTTTAAGTCGTGCCACATGGCCAGCCCACTTGAATTTCAATCTTTGAGCATATTTGAGAGCATCAATTGTTTTGGTTATACTTCTTATTTTTGTATGACGGATTCTGTGTGTCTTTCTTATTTTTAGCATGCTGCGTTCCATTCCCCTCTGGCAAGTTATTATTTTATTTTTGATTTTGTTAGTAAATTTTGTTAGACATGGTAAAATACACGAGTCCATCACCTTCTGTTTCACTTCTATTGGCATGTTAGTTTTCATCACTTCCTTGTAACTCCAGAACTTATTCCAGGCAATTCTTGATCTGCGTTCTACCTCTAATTCGCTGCTATTGCTGTCAAATGATATCTGTTTTCCTGTATTACTTTGTGTTCTAGTGCGATGGTTCTTTTATAGCTGTTTGTCATGATCTTTGTTTTTATCAAGTTGATTTCTAACCCGACTAATCTACTTGCATCATATAGCGATTGTATCATTCCCTCTAAGTTGCCACCGGTTTCAGACAGTAGTACCAGATCATCTGCAAACCTTAAATGACTTAGGTATTTGCCTTTGATGTATAAGCCACATTTTTCCCAGTCTAGATTACTTATGATTATTTCTAATACTCCAATAAATAGTATCGGGGACAATGGATCGCCCTGTCTTACTCCTCTATTGATGTTAAAGTTTGGGCCAGTTGATTCCAGTTTGACTCTACTTACGCTATTGTTGTATATACTTTTTATTACTTGTATGTACTCATTCTCTACGCCTTGTTTATTTAATGCTTCCCAAATACTATTGTGTGAAATTGTGTCAAAAGCCTTCTGGTAGTCTATGTAGGCTATGTAGAGCGGTCTTTGGTTTTCTTGGTATTTTTCGATAATAAGTTCCAGAGTATGTATATGGTCTATAGTTGAAAATCCTTTACGAAAACCTGCTTGCTCTATGGGTTGCCTTTTTTCTAAAGTTTTAGTTATTCTTTGGTTTATTATGGAAGAGAAGAGTTTATAAAGAGTTGGTAGAAGACTTATTGGCCTGTAATTGCCGATTTCCATAGGGTTTCCTTTTTTATACAGTAGGATTATATTGGAGTCTGACCATTGTACAGGTGTGTTCCCAGTTTCTAGAATTATATTAAATAATGATGTTAGCGACGATGCTAGTATTACACATCCATTTTTAATTGCTTCATTGGTAATACCATCCGGGCCTGGGCTCTTTTCTAATTTTAACTTTTTAGCTGCTTGTATAATTTCAAGTTGGTCAATAGGGATTATATTATTTTCTAGGTGTTCGTGACTGTTATATTCTTCCTGCCTGTTATTTTTTGTCTGTTGTGTGCTCCTACTGTATAGATTTTTATAGAACTCTGTAGCTATATGAATTATTTCCCCACGATTGTGTGTTGTTTGTCCTGATTGATTTAATCCCTCAATCCAAGATTTATTTGTTCGTAGTTCTTTTGTCGCTTTCTTAAAACTTTTCCCTTGTGTTAGGTAAGTTTGTATTATATCATTCCTGTACTTTTTATAGTCATGTTTCATGTACTTGCTCGTTAATTTGTATAAGGCGCTAAGTTCGTTTTTTTTCAGATCGAGACTTGACTATAGTTTTTTGTAATATTTGTCTTCTATTTAGTAATGTCATTGTCCGTTCTGAGAGAATTTTGTGTCTAACAGAGGTGTTCCTAACTAGTCTCGCTCGTTGTAGACTGGCGTTAATAGCATGTAGTAGATTGTTATAATTTTCCTGTACTGTCATCTCCTCAGGATGGTCAACTAAGTCTGATATATAGTCTTTAAGATTTTTCTTATATGCTTCAATTTCTTCTTTCGTTTTCAATGTACTATTTTGGTTGTTTGTGAATTTGATTCGGCTTTTCTTTGCAATTTTTAAAGTTATTGTAGCTCTTACCATTCTATGGTCTGTAGAGAAGTTTGGATTTAGTGTTTCTATGTTTAAGAATATCTTTGGTCTATTGGACAGTATATAATCAATTTCATTCTTGTGCACGCCGCCTGGTGAACGCCAAGTCCACCTACGACTTGGCTTTTTCTTGAAATAGGTGTTAATCACTGAAAGTTTATTTTCAAAAGCAAAATTTATTAATCTTTGCCCTCTGGCGTTTCTCTCTCCATATCCATATTTTCCCACTATTATGTGTTCATCTTTTAGTGGTTGTCCTATTTTTGCATTAAAATCTCCCATTATTATAAGATTTTTTGTTGATATTTGTATTGCTGTGTCCAAACTCTGATAAAATTCTACTATCTCTTCTTCACTAGACGACGCGGTGGGGGCATATACTTGTATTATACTTATATTATGGCCTTGAATGTTTACATCTAGCAGGGCGACTCTTTCTGTGAAGCTTATAAATCTTTGAATATATTTTTTTATAGATTTCTTTATTAAAAAACCAACGCCATAAAGTCCCGGTGTGTGGCCTACATAACATAATATCGTGTTCTCATATTCTTCTATATGACTGCCCAGTCTTCTGACTTCTGACATACCGATGACGTCGTATTTTATTCCATCTAGAGCTTCTTCGAGTTCTAATAGCCTTTCGTATGAAATTATCGTTGTGCATGTTATGAACCAAAAACACATGACTTAATATCAACCTATAAGACAGAGAAAACACAAAATAAGAGCGACAAAAAATCTTTAAAATGCATAAACAATAAAAGATCTAGGTCCAACTAGTCTGATAGCGATGATTATGACAGTAACGACATTCCCTATGCAGATTCAGATGAGACTATTTACTATGAAGAAGATGTTATGCTTGAAGAGATACTCGATATAGAAGAACTAGAAATAAATGCAGATAGTGTTGACAATATTGAAGAAATTAAAACAGAGCACATTGAACCGGAAATGGCTGATGATCCTGAAAATGATGAGATGATGATAGATTTACTTAAACAAAAAGAGAGCTTGTGCAAGCACCAGCATTAGTAAATCATGCCAAGTAACTAAAACCCCGGTGAAAATATTAACTCAAGTAGCAGTAAAGATTATATTAAATGAAAAAACAGGCAATATGCAAATTATACCCGTAAAGTTATAAGATTAATTACTTCAAAAGCATCCGTCAAAAATGTAATTTGAAATTTAGAAAGCCAAAAGTTACTAAAGATATTGATATAGTACCACAAGATTGTATTGTTAAATATGTTAAATTGTTACAAATATCGAAAGAACGCCAGGAATACTCCTGGCGTTCTTTCGATATTTGTAACAATATATACATATTAGTCAACGAGGAAGATACAATATTTTTTTTATTTGTATTCCGACATTATTCAGTTTTGTATTTAGTTACAGTTGACCCTATGGTCAAAGCAGCTTTTTTTAAAAATAAAACAAAGATTCATGTACCTACCCTTATATAGCGGTAAAGTTTATAAAGATATTCCTCATAAAAATTATAGTCAGAAAATAAATATAAAAACACCGTAGCTACAACAATATTAGGTTATTCTGAATACGACTTTACTTTTACAATTTACTGACTATTTCGTGACGAAACAATTTACTGACAATTTCGTGATGTACACATATGGTGTGATAGACGGTAGGTTCGTCGAGTCAGTCAAAATCTCTGATGCAAGTCTTGTGCGAGTTGTTAATGATCGACTTGAACAAGTGAAAACCTACTGCCCACAAGATTTTGCTAGGAAGCTAATAAATATAGAAAAGCATGGCAAATTCAAAGCCACCGAACAAAGGCAGTTGCTTTTTTATACTGCTCCTGTTATTTTTAGTGGTATCGTTAATCCTGCCGTTCACCAGCATTTGCTTCTTCTTCACGCCTCTATGAGAATTATGGCTAATCCTTATTTTCTCAATACAGAGTATGTTGCTTTCGCTGAGAGATGTATTAAGCTCTTTGTGGAAACAGCCTCTGATGTGTACGGTGTAGAGTTTTTGTCGTTTAATACTCACACTCTGTTGCACCTTGCTGATGATGTCAGGGCATTCGGAGCATTAGACTCGTTTTCAGCTTTTCCGTATGAAAACAACATGAGCTATTGCCGAAAGTTGTGCAGAAAGCCAAGCCAGCACTTGCAACAAATTGCCAACAGAAGAGCTGAAAACTGCCACACAACTGCTTCTAAATTCATAGATCCAAGATCTTTGAAATTCATTGGCAACCATGCGAGAGGGCCTGCTCCATCGATCGATGGTTCTACTGATTATGATCAGTTTAGGAAAGTTGTAGCTGGGGCCGTCCATTTATCGGTTCTTCTGCCAGATAGTACTGTTTGTTTGAAAAACACATCCATTGGCGTTATTCAAAATGTTATTCGATATAACGGATCCTGCCATCTGCTTTTAAAGACTTTCAAAGACAAAGTCGAAAATTTGTTTAATCGTCCTTGTGACTCAAGTTTAATCGGTGTTTACCTTTGCTCTATCATGAGTACTGAGACAATAGTTGTCAGTATTGATGAGGTCTCCGATAAGTGTTTTCGTATGCCATATTGGCCAGCTGCAGTCGACGCTCCTGCGGCAACAAACTCTAATTCATTTGCCGTATTTAAGATTATGTCCACGCATTTTGAAACAGAATAGATTCTTTATTATTATTATTATGATAATTTTTCATTACTATTATCACTAATATTCCTCGTTTAAAGTATCCAAATGCAGAAGAATACGGGAGCGCTGGCAGTAGACAAGGCACTCTCAAAACTGGACATGATGATGCCCTCCCCTAATATAGGAGCTTTGGCAAACCACTCCATGAGCCAGCCAACGACATCGTCTATCAATAATTCTCAGACACGCAAGCATGATAAGAATAAACAACATTCACAGAAATCTGCTAACAAGCCAAAATCATCCACATCACAACTTACATATAAACAACAATCTGGCAAACAAAAATCGTCCCCGTCACAACCACAATACAAACGACAATCATTTACATCTAAACATCAAGAACCATCCACATCACATCAGTCACGCAAAGAACTATCAACTTCGAATTCATCGCAGAAACGTTCATCCTCGTCACATCAATCACTGCACAAGCCGAAGGAATTCCCTATCATTGAGGCAACAGGTATAAAATGTATTTTATGTACAAATTTAACTGTAATTATGTATTTATTATTTTATATTAATAATTTAAATATTATTGATTTTATAGCATCATCTTCAATAACGCAAACTTTAGAGACGTCTAAAGTTATGGAAAGAATAAAGTACGTATAGCCGCATATAAAAATTACCCATTTACATCTCAATGGAACATATACATATATTAATACTTGTGATTATACTTACAGTTCAGTGAACCGACGCACACTGGGGCAGAAGACCCTAATAAATGCCGAAAATAAAAAATAAAAAAGATGTCACTTGTTAGCCCTCATGTATAAATTAATTAGAATACTAACTCAGGTATTATTTGTCGGTATTTAAATGCCCTATAACAAACCCACTTCGTTACTACAGTGAAGTGTACTTACGCCTTGCAGACTACCCTATCCAATATTACTGATTTACGTGCAATTTAAGAGCCGTTTTGCACTAAAAGTATTTATTTTTGTGATTATTCAGCTATGGAACCTTCATCTTCAGGTATGTAACTATGTTTTAGAATGATTTTTTTCTTTATTATATAATTAGTTTTAGGCAGACCAGGCTAAATTTGGGTGTGTAGAAAATTATCAGGAAAATAACGAAATAATAGATATTTTATTTTGTTTCTAAGCAATATTAAGCTTTGCTTACTATCTAAAAATAATCTTTATAGTATCATCTCTTATAAACAATTTATTTTTTTTGCTATATTTTGCTAATTTTCGAGATAAAACAATTTTGAGTGCATGGTTTACAGAAAATAATTTTGTTCCAATTTGCTATTATTATTAAAAAATATTCATTTCGTTTTAGGGATGTCCTCGAATACATTATTTATTACAAGACAAGAACTTTTAAATAAAATGCATAGTTCTAAAGCGAAAAATATATGCATCTTATAAAAGAGCTGGAAAAACGAACGAGTAGTCATGCCGAGTAAATATAATAAAATTAGTAGTTTTAAATATTAATATAAGTCAAGATGGGAGAAAGGTGTAGAATAAAAGAAAATTTTAACAAATATAACAAAGATTGGCTTCAGACATCACTTTTTTTTCCCATGCATTGGGTCAAATATGAAACGCGGCCGACCGGCAGTAAGCTGCTTTTGAAAATTCCTCAGAAAAAAGTAAACGTTCCAAGATTAAGCAGTTGCGGGAATCAACTTCAGCTTCAGAATTAGTTTATGCTACTTGTATGATTCTACAAGTAAAAGCTTCAAACATTTTGAAGTTTGTTAAGCCCTGACAGAAACTACTTCAACCATTAAATTCTTTTTGTGTGGTGCAACATCAAAAGATTTCAATAAAATAGATAAAATAGTTTTAAGAAAGGTGAATACTGATAATTTGAGATTTGGTCTTTCTGTCCTTCGCGGTTGGATTCGATTCTTCGAATGTTTACTACATTTAGCATACAAACTCCCTATAAAAAAAATGACAAATCTGTGGAGAGAAGGATAAGCAAACTGTTTCAGAAAATAAAGCCCGAATTCAAAAAGAATTTAGAGAAAAGTGTGGCCTAATTATAGACAAATCCAAACCGGGTTTCGGCAGTAGCAACGATGGAAACACCGCCAGACGTTTTTCCCAAAATCCAGACTTGTCAGCACAAATAAATAATATACATGTAGATTTAATAAAAAAAAAAACACATTATTTTAATTATTATATCAAGTGAATTTGATATAGATGCAGGAAAGTACAGGGTATTTGCACTTGATACTGCTAGATATCCTTTTGCACTTCCTACTATCGGACAATTAACAGAAGAATCACAGGAGGCAAGAAACAAGGACTTAAAGAGCTATAGAGAGCATAATTCCAGAAAATGTAGCAGAGAAAAATCTAATAGGGATATTTTTAACTTTTTACACGCTTTATATTAGCTTCACTTGTATGTTTGTTTGTATGTTTGTAACCTACTCCTTTGGGCGTGATTTTGACTGACTTTAAACGGTCAGAATTCGTTCAAACTTAGATATATCGAGGACCGATGACGATACACTAATTAAAAAAAATATACTTTTAAAAAACTAAAAAACACGCTTTCTATAGAAAACCAAACTAAAAAATACAAAATAAATTTTAAAAAAAGCGTGGGGTGCTTTTTACTACTGATAACAGGCACCCAAATTTTTTTTGTTTTACTGAGCTCTGGTCCCGTAATCACAAGTAAGCAAAAGTTAGTCACAAATAAAGTGAAAAATATTCCTAAAGAAGCACTGTTCATGTTGAAAGCTCCATTTCTAAATAACTCAGATGATAATACTACAGTCGATGACGATCATAATGATGAAGATGATGATGCTTTAACATATCTTCAATAGGTATCATACTGCTCGTCTGCCCCCTCTAACATAAAAAAAACTACACTTGAGAAATACCGCTTTTTTTTTGTAAAAAATATTTAATGTGTTATTTTTAAACAATAAAAATGATGATGTTAATTACCTGAATTGTTTTTTCTGTTATTACATATGTCTATGAGAACACTCGGTCCACTTTCGAACGTCTAACAGCTTTAGTATATTTGATGGCAGTTATAAGGGTATCCTGCCTCAGTGTGCGACGCCTTGCTATCATCGGAGGCACCGTCAAGTAAATCTTTCATATTCATTATTTATTCTATGCTAATTATTTTTAAAATTATTAATTAATTATATTTTATTTATAGCGCGATGAATTATAAAATGCAGAATTTGGAAAAGCTCATTAACGTGGAAAAAACGTTTAACGTTTTTCATTTTAAAAATAATGTTGATCAATAACAATAATAACGAATTAATTATTAACTTTTTAGTTCCATGCATAAAATGCTGACAGGATTACTTAATAAACAGGCGCCCAAGGCCAGAACTCGTCCTGACTGCCTGCCGTTTAAAACGACGGCGGATATCCTTGAGTTTAATTATGCCACTGACGAGGATTATACCGCCTTTGTAAGTATAAAAAAATATTTTAATTGACATAATACCATTATTAATTGTATATAACCTTTATTATGTAGGTAGACTATCTATCCTACCTAGGTGGTGTGAACGCCACTGATGCAGAAGCTAAATATTTTAAGAGCTGCATCGACATAGACGAGGACATCTTCCACAATGTTACCTGGAGCAGCTCGAGCAAGGAACGGCCTGGTATGGTGGCCTTAAAAATACCAATTTCGCGAAAGCTTGCCAAGGTACGTATCGTATATTTATATAATAATTGACATTATCTTCGAAAAATCTTCGCAATATACTAATTTTAATATTTTTTGCAGATGCAATGCCTCAGGATAAGTTCTCCTTCCTAAACCTAAGGCAGACGAGTTCGCGTGGGTGATGACAAAAGCCCTTAAAAGCGCTAAGGAGGGCTTTCGTAGGCAGCTAAAGCGAAGTCGAACGGCTGCTGACAACGATGCAGGTCAACCCGCGGCACAGCGTAGCCGCATCCCTGAAGAGCAAGAAGAAGAAGAAGTTCACGATCAGGAAAATCAAAACAGCGATATGGAAAGCATCGATGACGACAACAACGAGAGAGACGGCAGTCGCAGTGGCAGCGACAATAATAAGCAAGACAGCGAGTATGGCAGCAGACATAGCAGCGGTCATGGTAGCGACGAAGAAGATGGAGGCCACGAGAGCGACCAAACGAACATCATTTCAGATTGAAAAGTTTTAGTATTTTAGTTTAGTAATCATAGTCAATTAAAAATTCAAATTTCGCGCCGCAAAATAGCTGACAAAAAAATAACTGATTGGCGTATACTAAATAATAAATTTGACTGCACGGATGGCGTAGTGGTTTAAGCGGTCGCCACGCCGCTTCCTACTACGCCGAGTGTTGTGGGTTCAAACCCCACATGGGACGACACTTTGTGTGATCCACAAATTGTTGTTCTGAGTCTGGGTGTTCTTTGTGTCCGTTTCATGTATGTTTGTAAGGTCCCCCGCGACACAGGATTTATTCCTAATGCGGGAGTTGTCTTTTTATAAAATAATAAAAATTAAATCAAAATTACTTAAAATCAGGATATCGTTGCCCTCTGTTTTGTAATTTTCTACCATTTTACAAAGTTTGACGCTTATAAATAAATATCTCGCTAAATGGCATTTGAATTACATGATTTTGTGACATTATTCGAATGCTATTTGGCGAGATAGAATAAGTGTAGATATTACAATATAAGTGTGTATATAATAGTGATTAAGATACTAAAAATTAATAAACAATTCTGTATTGTGCTTCTTACTTGATTGAAATGGCGCCAAAGAGAAGTGCCATTTGGTTCCATTACACTGAAGACTCGGATAGTCGCGCAAAATGCAACTATTGCTCTATGCTTCTGAGCATTAAAAGTGGGTCTCGGGGAAATTTAAACAGGCACATGAAAAATAAATATCCGACCATTTCATTGTCTGTTCAAAGACAACCTTCTGGTGTGACAACGACAGGTGGAACTGCCATTGAGTCCACCACTTCAGCATCGCATGTAGTTGATATAGTCCAATCCACTTCTGTATCAAACAGAACACTCGAACAGTGTACAGTACCTATTACTAACTACATGCGGAGACCACCTTCATCGCGTAAAATTGATCAAATTGATGACCAAGTCGTGAAGGTGGTTGCTAAATGGCACCATTCACTTAGACTTGTTGAAGAACCAGAATTTAAGAAACTAGTAGATATGGTTTCAAATTGTCCTGGATACCAGCTTTCTATAAGGAAAACTCTTTCAACAACTTTGATTCCAAAAAAATATATTCATACATTTGAAAGAGTTCAAAAAACCCTAATAGATGCGCACGTCGTCTGCCTAACTACCGATGGATGGACATCTATAAATAATCAAAGTTATATAGCAGAACTTGGAAGTTCACTATAAAAGCTAAAAACAAGATTAGGTCATGCCAAAGCGGGATGGAAAGAAGCATATTAAACTTGAAAAAGATACAAAAAGTACCAAATAAAACTATTCGGAAAAAGACTAAGGTTGTTGATGCTCTATGTCACTGCAAAAAATTAAAGTGGCGCTGGGCCGGCCACATAACGCGGCTGACAGATAGCAGATGGACGAAGAGATTGACGTCTTGGGTCGGACCAGCAGGCTCTAGGAAGAGGGGCAGACCAGTTGCCCGGTGGACCGATGACATAACTCAAGTGGCCGGCGATCGTTGGATGGACACAGCAACCGACAGGGACGCTTGGAAATCTCTAGAGGAGGCCTTCACCTTCGATTAAGAGGGGTTCTTACTACTTAGCGCACAGATTACTGTATAAAATTAGATAAAATAATAGTAGTAGTAGTAGTAGTATTTAATAGTTTTAAGATTAATTGTAACTGTATTTTTAGTAAGAAATAAAAGGCTTTTTTATTTATTTTTTATTTATATAGCAGTTACAGCGCACTTTATAGAAGAAAATAGTACAGTATGTTCTGCTTTGCTGGGCTGTATTAATTATAATGAACGTCACACCAGTTCAAATTTAGTTTCTTAAAACACATCATGAATGATTAGCAAATAAATAACAAAGTAGTGTGCATTGTCAGCGACAACGCTTCAAAGATTATAGCAGCCATCAGATTGGGGGAGTGGAGATCAATAAGCTGCTTCGCTCACTCTCTGAACCTTGTGGTCCAACAAGCAATTGCCAGTATCAGAAAAATTATTGAAAAAGTAAAATATATTGTAGAGTATTTTAAAAGATGTTCAGCTGGTTTAAATAAGTTGCAGGAAATACAGAAACAAATGGGCTTACCACTGCTAAAACTAAAGCAGGAGTGTCCAACGAGATGGAATTCATTTTACGACATGCTGGATCGGTTCCTAAAAATTAAAGAAGCTGTGAAAAGTGCTTTGGCTATACTTCGGAATGATTTATCTGTCGATCCACAGGAATGGGTCATAATTGAAAAGGTTATTCCCTTATTATGAGAGTATGAACCTTTTTATGAGGTCACAAACGACCTTAGTGTTGAAAAGTATGTATTTTTGTCCAAAGTACTTATATACATACAACTTCTCTCAAAACATGTAATTACCAACTTGACGAGGGTCGTTGGACCTTTTTCATGACTTAAATAATGTATCCCGTTTGATGCAGAGGCGGTTGATATTTTCATCTATCCAGGGTAATTTTGGTTTATGTACATTGCTCCATCTTTTGTAGTTAGATTTATTTTCATTTTCATTTCTTTTCATTTTGAAAAGAATTTAGTATTAAGCTACAAATAGTTTGAGTTCCGAGTTCGTGAGGCCGCTCTTCTCTACAAGATTAAGAGGTGCATCCCATGGGAAGCGGTGGGAGATCGCGATGTGGAGCGTATGGCTCGGACCGTAGACGCTCCGCATCCGGCTGAGCTTGTGTGCCCCGACATATGCCAAATTACGGACAGAGAACACTATCTGCAGAGTGACAACGTAGAAGTCAAAATCTTCACCGACGGTTGTAAAATTGCGGCAAGGTGGGTGCAGCCTTGACGATATGGACTGACGGAACAGAGATCAAAACTACAAAACTTGCACTCTCGAGCCACTGTACGGTCTACCAGGCCCAGCTACTGGCACTGCATAGGGCTACAAAAGAAACCACCGTGCGCAAGGAGCCCGCGTTTGGAATCTACAGTGACTCCATGGCCGCTCTCCAAACTCTGCAGAATCCCCGCTCCCTCCACCCCTTAGCAGTCACAGCTAACAAAAAATTTGAAAACAGCTTCTCTCCAGGGCAAAACAGTAAAACTGTTTTGGATAAAAGCTCACGCGGGTCTGGAGGGCAACGAAAGAGCCGACGAGTTAGCCAAAGCAGCGGCTGGGGATTCCAAACGCAGGCCGGACTATGATCTGTGCCCGGTTTCATTCGTCAAGGGTAGCATTCGGTACAAGAGCGGAACAACGGCGTCCACAACTAAAATGTTTTTCTCTGACGCAAAAACAGCGTACAAGGTGGTCAGAAAGATCAAAGCCACCAGTGTAAAAACCCAAATTATGACAGGGCACGGCGGGTTCTCTGAGTACCTATATCGCTTCCGATGCAAGAAGAACCTGCGCCTGTGACCCGGGGGAAATTGAAACGGTGCAACACATCTTTTTCGAGTGCCCCATACACTTAAAGGAACGGCACGATGTAGAGCACCGCTTAGAAATGAAAATGGAAGCCAAAAATATGGCAACCATTATGATGGGTAAGGATAGGGATACTTTGATGGACTATTGTATAAAAATAGCTGAAATAGTAAATAAAAGAAACGAAACAAGGACATAGTAAATTATGCTATCAAAATATTATGTAAAATATTATTGTACAGCATAAACCATGTAAATTTGTTAAATAAGCAAATAGTGATTAATTATTTAAACAGTAGTTTAAGACCTTACTTTATCTCAAATCGTAGCTTAAGAATACTGTAAGTAAAAATAAGAAATGTATTTAAATATAAGAGTTAGATTAAGGCCCATAAATTATAAGTTTATAGCTGTAAATAAAACATGTCTAAGAGATAATGAACTAAACCCAAATTAGAAATAAGTACGAGGGGTGATCAATAAGTAATGATAATCAATATGAAACAGAACTATTAGATTAAAAAAAGTATTTTATTTTTCAACATAGTCTCCTTGCAAGTTAATACATTTAGTGTATCTTTTTTCTAAGCCCATGATTCCCTTAGAAAAAAATTCTTTGTCTTGACCCTCCCAAAATGCCTCTACTGCGGCCACTTCACTATTGTCCTCAAATTTGTTGCCCCGGAGGTGTTCTTTGAGCCGAGGAAAGAGGTAGAAGTCACTGGGAGCTAGATCTGGCGAATAGGGAGGGTGTTCGAGCAATTAGAACCTCGTTTCTTCAATGGCAGCCATCGCAACTGCGGCTTTGTGAGCCGGGGCGTTGTCTTGGTGAAACAGCACTCCAGCGCGCAGTTTACCGCGTCTTTTTGACTTAATAGCTTCTCGCAATCTTCTTATTTGGCCTGCGTAGTAAGAGCCTGTTATAGTGGCCCCCTTTTCCAAATATTCCACCATAATAATTCCTTCTGCATCCCAGAAAACAGACGCCATAACCTTTCCCGCTGAACTTGACACTTTGAATTTCTTCGGCGTTGGTGAGGAAGCTCGTTTCCAAGTCATTGAGTGTTGTTTGGTTTCGGGATCAAAGTGGTGGATCCAGGTCTCGTCCATGGTCACAAAACGCGACAAAAAAAATTCTTTATCGGCCTGGAACTTTTGAAGATTCACCCTCGAAATGTCGACTCGTTTCTTTTTTTGCTCGTCGGTTAACATTCTCGGTACCCAACGCGCAGAGACCTTTTTCATATGCATTTTGTTGACAATGATTTTTTGAACGCTGCCATAGGAGATCCCTGTGACCTCAGCTACATGCCTTACGGTCACCCTTCGATCGGCCAACACGATATCTTCCACTTTTTTGACGTTTTCTCCAGTAAGGGACGTGGAAGGGCGTCCCTCGCGATGTTCATCTTCAGTGGAGGTTCTGCCCAGCTTAAATTCCTTTGCCCAGCGTGCGACTGTGGAATATGGAGGAGCAGACTCCCCCAATGTTTCCTCTAAGTCGCTGTGTATGTCTTTGGTAGACATTTTTTTCAGGCAGAGGTACTTGATGACAGCTCTTATTTCATTTTTCTCCATTTTGATGTTTTCTCTTCGACAGTTCG